ACGCCTACCAGGAGCATATCATTTTTATCACTTACAAGCCCTAAAGAACGTCTAAAGATAGATGTCACTCTGTGGGGGAGGGCCCTGCGGACGGAGGGCCTCAATGTGAATGAGAGCTGGGGATAAAACTACGGCTAGGAAAGTTACTTGACCCGGAATCAAGGGGTCATACGCTCATTATTGCTTACTCGGAATTTCACCCTCAAAATGGTCGAAACTATCCTTATGTTACTCGATTGGCTATAATTTAGTGATCCACGCTGGAATTTTAAGCTAGGGATGAGTTACTTCGCGATGGATGGCAATTCAGAACCACTCGAATGAGAGATAGACTGGATCCTTTATCGATAGACCGTGTTGACAGCTCGACCAGTTAGAATCGTCCGACTAGCTAGAACATATATATTCACCTCATGCTCGCAATGGAGGAATTACGAAAGGGTGAAGGGTTGGATGATGGCGCTACCGTACAGTGATGAGATCTCGAGAACGATTAAGTTCGATGTAGATGTTGTATTGTAAGCGGCGATAAAAAGAAGAATAAGGAGAATATCTCATAGCTAACTCAAGGAAGAGATAGGACTACGAGCCCCTAGGCCTTTCTGGCGCCCCACCATGATCCGCACACAAGCAACCCACAGCCATGCATTTCAACAAATGGGCGTAGTGTCTGTAAACATTTTTTTGCTAAAGATGCTGTAACTGTAACGTACTTGAAGCTTTTCTCAAGACGTATCCTACATATATTTTGTGCCCAGGTTAGACCTGGTTGCTAAACCGCAGCATATTTATGGCATCATAGATAATCACTCGCGTGCCAAGAAACGAGATTCCCGCTGTCTGTGGTGCTGCAGCATCAGGGAAGATAGGTGGGATCGCCTTGAGGAGTACTATCACCCTCTACCAGATTTTCGGGTGGATGGCTACCGCCCAGCTACCAGGCCGATGAGTTCTCCACCATTCGCAGAATCATTTCTTTGAATATACATGTCACAGCCCTCTTTCCCTTCTATCGTGGTTTAATAGCTGGGACAGTCGCAAGCTTTCCAAGCTCCAAGTAAAAACTGAGGGTGATAGGACTACACACTGTAGCCACACTTTTATCATGTGGGGGGGGGGGGGGGGGGGCGCTGCTGGGGCCGTAACATCTCTGCCAACTAATGAAATGGATGGTTTCTCCACCGACCAAATAACCCTGCTGTGCATGTCCAACCAACTAAGCACCCTATCCGTCAAGATAGTAAACAAAAAACTCGACATACCAAACCTACATATACATGGCTCAACGGGTCGAGCCATCCACCTAGTGAAAGGACATCGTATCTCTTGGTTTTGGCGAGCAGACAAACATTGGGTTACATCCCCACACTTGCGTCCCGCAACAACACACTTAGCTCAGTTACACTAATTCTGGGTTCTGAGGTCTCAGTATTTGGCGCACAGATAAGTGAGCTGGCGGTGAAGATAAAGGTCCTTTGATTTGACCGTTAATACACTAATATCATGGTGAAAAATACATGTCCACCGATTTTATTATCTTACCTAGTGATGGGCACGAGACAAGTTGTCTCGAGACTTTCAGCAAGACAAGACGAGACCTGAGGGCTGACAAGACAAGACAAGACTAGGTCTGAAAGTCTCGAGACTTTGACGAGACTAGACCATTGTCTCGAGATTTTCAAGACCTAATCCAAATAATACAAGACGAGACGAGACTTCCCCAAGTCTTGTCTCATCTCGTCTCGTGCCCATCGCTAATCTTACACGAATGCGTCACAAGATATCACCCGCTTGGCCGCCTTATAGCTATGATTCGGCCGGTCGATCGATGGGTACTGGGAGCAGGTGTTGGTATATTAGGGCTGAAAGAAGATGATACTAAAGTACGCTATTGGCCATATCTACTGCTGATCCGGGTTCACACAGATCGTCCCCTATCACTTGCGAGAGGTGTCTGTACAGAACCACGCCTCCCTATCTTCAATGTGTATCTGAAAGATCCTGCCAAATTACCAGTAGTCCGTAATGAAAGATTGGTTGGGTGTATTTAAGTCGGACAATGATCTAGTTTTGGGAATAAACCACGACCGCATAGGCATACTCTTAAACTAATACCTATCACGGTCAAGGAGGGCCGTACACCGAACTCTTAATCTTGATGGAATTGGGACATGTAAACAGATAAGTGTTAATCATGAAGTTTGTAAAACTGGGATTGGGTGGCAGCTCCTCTTCCGGTACCAACTCCAATTTATTCCCAAGAAGATTCGCTCCCAATCGACCCTTGATATGCGAAATAAGATATTCCCAAATCTGAATTCGAATCACAACCCATGACTCGGTCTCCTCCTTCCAGGGTAGTAATCCAGCCAAGCCCACCATCCTGCAGCTCCCACGCAAAATCCCAACAACGCCAAGACGGCAGCCTCCCAGTCGTTGCCACGTCCCAGTTAGAGTTCCGACCAGATCGACTCTTGGAAATAAGTCTCAAAATATTCCACCTGCAAAGGAGAAAAAAAAAGCCCTTTTTTTCACCCCCTTTTATCCTATCATATTTCCCTCCCTTTCTCTCTGTAAACTCCGATGGTTTCGCTTTTGGCCCTCGTCGTCGTGTTGACGGTGGTAACGCATGTGGTGAATACGCTGGGTGCCCAGCAGATCAATAATCTGGTACGTAGCTGCGAAATGAGATGGGATGTGTTAGTAGGGTCTGGAAGCTAATTGTGCTATGTTGTGTGCGGGTGTAGTTGTGGTCAATGTACAATTCGCTCCCCTTCAGCAGCTCCAAGGCCGACATCGCAAGAAGGAAAGCCCTGCAGCGCGAGATCGTGGTGCTCCGCGCACAGCTGCGGGCCACAAGCTCCCAGGACGAGTTTGCGAAATGGGCGAAGCTCTCGCGGACCCTCGACAAGAAGACTGCGGAATTTGAGAAGCTGAGTAAGTTCTTCCTACCACCTACCTCTCTAGCTCTTTAGCTACTGTAGATATATATGTGCGCATGAATGAGATGGATGGTAGGCTGACTATGTCGCAGATACCTCAATCAACACTGCGCGCGTTGCGTTCGACTCAAAGACTCGGGCGATTAGGTGGATGCTCACCTCCGGGCTGCGCTGGTTCGTGCTGTTCTGGTACAACAAGGAGCCGATGTTCTGGATGCCTGAGGGGTGGGTGCCCGGGTATGTCGAGTGGGGCCTGTCGTTCCCCAAGGCGCCCATCGGCAGTGTGTCGATCCAGGTGTGGAGCTTTGCCGTCGGGCAGGTGGTCAACTTGATCTCGGGGATGATTATGTATTTGTTTGCGGTGTTTTCCGGCAAGGCACCGGTTGCGATGCCGGCGGAGGCGGCGGCGGCGGCGGCGGGCGAGGAGAAGGGGGCCAAGAAGGCCATGTAAAATCGGACATGAGCATCTAAGCTATGAGTTATGGACTTGAGGTTTTTTTTCCCGTCATGTTGTGTTTGTAATCTGGGGATTCCGTTGTGGGCATTAGATCCGGAAAGGCAAATGGTAATAAGGCGTTGTTTGGGCATTGGAGACGATTGCACGTATTTAATTGTATACCTCTTGTAGTCAAGTAGTGATTCTAGTTTCCATACGGATTCTGTTTTGCGAGTTGAGATTCCTGTCATGAAGCTCTTTAGTAGTTCTTGCTATTGTGCCTGGTCTGTCCATGTAGTTATTACTACTTTATCTGGTCTATTTGTTCTATTCATGTAGTTACTGCTGCTGTTAATGCCGGTATTTCAGTTATTCCAAATTCTTTCGATCCCGGGGTAGATGCATGCAACTGATCTCCTAAAAGGTCGGAACGGAAAAACATTTCTCAAATAGCCGGTACTGGCTGATTGGCCGAAAGAATTAAAGTTAATGTTCATTGTTACTAGGCGGCTGGCTAGCACCAAATTTGTTCACGGCCTGTATGCCAATGACCGATTTCACACGGTACCAGGTTATAATAGTTACACCCGGCTTACCCCTACATGTAGTATATTATATATATTAGATCTCATCTCGGGTCAATTGATTACATGTACTCCATGTAATCGTCGCACATGATGGAAGATTCCCGAAGCTGTCATCCTGACAAATATCGGGGCTGTTGAGTGATCCTCTGCAAGTAAGTGTCTGGTTTGGGTTCCCATCTGTATGTAATACCTGGGGGTGTTTCCTACAGTCGTACAGCCGCATTTGAAAAGTATTGGCACCTCCGAGCCAAACTCACGAGGCAGTCCTTTCTGCTTTTCAACCCTCATATTCGAGACAATTGCCAGAGAGAGCTGCCATGACTCTATTGCGGTCATACCTATCAATAAGTTGAGTATGCGCGAGTGCCATGGATTTTGGTGGGCTACAATTCATGAACGACTCAATATAGTAGGGTGCCAGTACTTTTCGAATGCGGCTGTACATACCCAGACAGTCTGCACTCTCCCCAATACCAGGGTTAGGGTAGCTGGCCCCACTACCTCCGCCCGCCGGACGCAGCCAAAGTGGCCGAGAAGTCGGCGAAGAAGCAGCAGTGACATTCCGCTCCAGAACGGCGACTGCAGCCGGGGGAAGGAAGGAACGAAGGGGTGCTTGTGTGTGCGCCCAGACCGGGTTGTCGCTGTGCCCGGCGATTTCGTCATCATTCGTGCTCTTACAAATCCGTTTCTGGGGTCCAAAAAAAACCCCACCACGCGAAATACTCATCCCACCACGCAGAAACCAACCCCACACCACCCACGAATAGCAGATACAAGCAAGCACTTGGATATCATATCACAATACAGTAACTTGTAGAGAAGCACAGCCATTTATAAATACCCCCCCGCATTCCCCCATAGATACACCTCCCCCCCCCCCCCCCCCCCCTTTCCCAGTATTAGAGCACTCCTCACACCAGAGCAGTGCACTACCCTTCACATACGCCCAAACTGTCAGTCACGCTCCTGCTCAAACGCCTCTCCAGCCCGGCGTCAACAAATAGACTATCAGTCCTCTCACGACACTTTTCGGCCATGGCTCCCATCGCAAAGCACTACGACTACCTCGTCATTGGCGGTGGCAGTGGCGGTCTCGCGAGTGGCCGCCGCGCTGCGGCGATGTACGGGAAGAAGGTGGGGATTATTGAGAGCGGAAGGCTGGGGGGAACGTGTGTCAATGTCGGGTTCGTATTCCAGCCCACTCATCTCTCTCTTTGATATCTCGGAGAGCAAATGAATACTAACAGCACTCCAGCTGCGTCCCCAAAAAGGTGATGTGGAACGCCGCAACCATGGCCGAGACGCTGGCCGAGTCGCACGACTACTGTTTCGACACCGAGGTGAAAGGCTTCGACTGGCCGCGCTTCAAGGCGAAGCGCGACGCCTACATCAAGCGCCTCAACGGCATCTACGAGCGCAACCTCGGCAACGACGGCGTCGACTACATCCGCGGCCGCGGCCACTTCCTGTCGCAGAACGAGGTCGAGGTGACGGACGAGAGCGGCGCAAAGACGGTCTACGGCGCGGACAAAATCTTGATTGCCACCGGTATGCATACTGCCCTTTTTCCAAGTTACTGGTGGTGAGTAGGTTGGCTGATTTGGGGGGATTTCTGTGCTGCGCAGGCGGATATCCGGTCATCCCAAAGAACGTCCCTGGCGCCGAATATGGCGTCACCTCCGACGGCTTCTTCGAGCTCGAGCAGCAGCCCAAGAAGGTTGTGCTCGTCGGCGCCGGCTACATCGCCGTCGAGCTCGCGGGCATCTTCCAGGCCCTCTCCTCCGAGACCCACCTCATGATCCGCGGCGACACCTTCCTGCGCCAGTTCGACCCCATGATACAGGAGGTCATGACCAAGCACTACGAGGAGGGCATGGGCATGAACATCCACCGCCGCTCCAAGCAGACTAAAGTGGAGAAGGACGAGGCCACGGGAAAGCTCACCATTCACTATGAGGATATCAATGGACCCGCGGTCCTGAAGGATGTGGATACGCTCATCTGGGCTATTGGAAGGGCGCCTGAGACGGGTGATTTGATGCTGGATAGGCCGGGTATTGAGACGACCGAGAAGGGGCATGTCATTGCCGATGAATTCCAGAACACTAATGTGCCGAATATCTGCTCGATCGGCGATGTATCGGGGAAGCTAGAATTGACACCTGGTTAGCCCTCCCTCCCCCCCCCCCTCCTTCTTCCTCATATAGTACCCCAAGCAGACCAGCTAACATACGCACACAGTCGCCATCGCCGCCGGCCGCCGCCTCGCCGACCGTCTCTTCGGCGGCCCCAAATTCGCCACCGCAAAGCTTGACTACGACAACGTCCCCTCTGTCGTGTTCGCCCACCCCGAGATCGGCACCATCGGTCTCAACGAGCCCGAAGCGCGCAAGAAGTTCGGCGACGCAAACATCAAGGTGTACAAGACCTCCTTCACGGCCATGTACTACGCCATGCTCGAGCACAAGGGGCCGACATCCTACAAGCTCATCTGCGAGGGCGAGAACGAGCGCGTCGTCGGCCTGCACATCATTGGCCTCGGCAGCGCGGAGATGCTGCAGGGCTTTGGCGTCGCGGTCAAGATGGGCGCGACCAAGGCGGACTTTGATTCCTGTGTGGCGATACATCCCACGAGTGCGGAGGAGCTGGTGACGTTGAGGTAGAGGGGGGGTGTTTGTAGGTTAGAGGAGTATTGGTAGAGGTAGAGTGTGAACTGAAATACACTGTTTGATATCATTGATTGTGGTTCTGGTGTTGGTTGAGGTGAAGGTATTGGTGTTGATATTGCATCTAAAGCTTAAGATCGAGACCGGAGGTGGAGTAGAAAACCGGCGCCCAATCCCAATCCCAGGAGTAGTAGTGCTAAGCTGCTGCTACCTGATCCCAGCTACGCATTAGCGGGCGATCATTGACCGAGTGATCCGAGTGATCCGCGTGATAATTCAAGCACTTGAACCTCAGGGTTTTAAAGATAATCAGAGTACATAAGCTCCGGCTTTAAAGATAACGAATAATCGATTGACACAACTCTGGATATATCCCTCAGGCGCCCCGAAAAGACCAAAAACCAGAGCATAGCTAGCATACAATAGAAAAAACAGCTGACCTCTAGCTAGCTAGCCCAGGCCCTATAATAGCGCCTACTTCTATAATAGATAAAAAAAAAAGGAATGTTTCTCCAGACTGAATTTTAAAAACTATGTCAAAACTAAAAAACAAAGCGCTCTTCCCCCATCGTCATCATACACTCGTAAAAAGGAACCCTCCCTAGCTAGCAAAGCAGCCAGTTACTCCGTATTCCCTTATTGCTCGAATTACCCGTATGTGTGTGTGGAGGGGTCCGGGGCTATTTTCCGCCTCCACTACTCGAGCCTGCTTTTGCAGCTTCTGCTTTTCTCTTTTCTTCGGCTGTGGTGAAGAGCGGTGGGTCAGTATTTTGCGCCGGAAGTTTTTTTTTACATCTTTGGTAGTTTGTAGTATTTTTTAGCTCATCAAAGAGGGGGAGTGGGAGTTTGGGAGGAGGGGGGAAAAAGGCCCTGGCTTTGGACCCTCCGTGGTGGTGGTATTGGTGTTGGTGTTGGTATTTTGGTTGTGATTTTTTTCTAAGTATAGTTACCTTCTTGCTGCTTTTGACGCATGATCTGCGCGACCTGCTCTTTGTCGCGCTGCATTTCAGAGCCCGTTTTCTGTGCGAGAAATATTAGCTTCCTCTTCTCGAATCAATCTTCTGGGAGGAGATAGAAGCGTACACCGTTCTTGCTCTTCTGGGACGAGGCGGCCTTCTGCGCCTTCAAGCGATCGCGTTCACGCTGTCGCGCCGTTAGTATCAACACCTCTAATCAATCCGGGGATGCCCTCGTACCTGATTTCCACGGGTCATGATTGCTGCTGTTGATGTGGGGGCGTTCTGTAATGAAGTCTTGTCGGAGGGAGGAAGAGGTATCGTAGGTTTCTGTGTGAGCTGTTTGGTGAGGAGGAGAGAGAGAAAGAAGAAGAGAAGAAGGCGTGGAAGAAGGAAGAAGAACTCGAGGGACGCTCACGGAAAGGGGATTTTGCCAGGTGGGCAGTGTTAGGCGGGGGGGTTAGGGTTGGGTTGGGTTGTACGTGAGGAGGCTCAGCCTCACACACAACCTTCAAAATTCAATCTGGGCCGGGCCCGGGTTCACCGATCGTGGCTCGCTAATCTGTGTCACGTGCTGCCGATTCGTTACCGGGTCGAGCGGAGGGAGTCCTAGTGCACTTTGGTGCGATTGGCAGCGGGGAGTGTGGGTGCCAATGATTATCTGGGTGGTTTTGGGTGCCTGCTCGGTGCTGGGGAGAATATGTGGGAATAGAATGGATAGAATGTGTTTGTTTGGTGCGAAGCGGGCAAAGTGTCGATAGAATCATTGACCCCTAGGTACACACCCGTACCCTAAGATAATATGTGCACCGTACCGTGATTGATCCATTGAATTCCACAGCTACGTCTGATGTCTACATTCAAGTGTCTGCAGATACTTCCAGTTCCTCTGTCTAACGCTAACTCATCTCTGATCACTTGTTCTACGGACACAAACTCTCCCCATAAATCCCCCCTTCACGCTGGCTAGTCTCTGTTTACACTTTACTTTTCGATATTTCTCAAACTAATCACAGATATACACCCCCGCCTTCTGGTTCCTGAGAATGTCACAACACTCCAGAGGCTTTGTGGCCCTGAATGTTATCCGCGGATTCAGCGTAGTGGCCTTGTGCATGGCTATAATAGCAGCCATCACACATCTAGTCAAGAGCTTCATCCAATCAAAAGTACGAGAGAAACATATTTCCACTTCCATGTTTATTTTTTCGAAATTCCCGCTTAATTTATCGTGCTGTAGTATTTCCTGTTTGACGTCCTAAACAACCTTATCCTTGCCCTCTTCTGCTGTAAGTATTGACATGCATGGTTCCGGCTCACGCCCGGGGATGCCGGTTTGCTAACAACTAATATACCGATCTCTCAGTATTCCTCCTAATCTCAGAAACACCCCTCCTGAGCACCTACTACAAGCGCCGGTGGCCCCTCTTCGGCCCCGACTCGTCCCTCGTCAGCATCGGCGTCGCCGAAGTCATCGTCGGCTTCCAGCTCCTCGGTATGGTCAACGACCAACCCCACGAGCACGGCGAGAAAGAAGACAAGCCCGCCGTCATAATCTCCTTCGACAAGATCCTCATCGCCTCCGGCGCCCTCGTCTGTGCCACCGGCGCAATAGTATTTATCGCTGTAGATATCCCCCTCTCCCCATTCTCTAACTGGCTGACATGGTTATAACCTGGTACGGGTAGAATTATGTATTCTGCAACTCCCAGACACACACAACGGCGCGCACCATCCGCGCATTCTCAAAGAAGGCCAAAGAAACCCGTAAGCCCGCCACCTTAGATCGCGTCACCGTCGACGGCGAACCCAGCATCGAGCGTCCGCAGCGCACGTTTTCCAAGGCATCGCGGGTTGCACCAGCTGGTCACGAGCTCGAGAGGGAGCCGTCGGTGCAGAATGTTGAGATGGTTAGTAGGAGGCCTTCGGTAGCATCTAGTGGCAGAGGTGCGTTTCCGTATACTACTGCGTTTACGCCGCCGCCACCACCGCCGCCGCCAAATGAGGAGAACAGGACAAGTTGGGTAGAGGGCTCGGAGGAGGCGTTCTCACAGTCGCAGTATACGGAGGTGAGGCCGACGCCGCCGCCGCCAACGCCGGCGAAGTATGGGGCGCATGGGAATCCGTATGGGTCGTCGGAGGCGGGGGAGTCGAGTTATTCGTCGAAGCCGTCGCCGTCGGAATATAAGGTGAAGGGGAATCCGTATACGAGGATTGCAGATTAGGTGCTCGATATCCTCATCCCTCTCTCCATGAGGGGGTTTCCGTAGTTTTTATCTGGAGTTTTGTAGCATAGGCTAGGGACATGACTTTTGGGGCCATTATTATTAGCAAGTGCCCTTGGGTTCTGGCGGTATCGTTATCTTTCCATAGAATAATGGAGATGTGTGTGCTTTTCTTGTTTCGGCCAAAGTATACAACTATGCCCGTGAATTGGAGATTTCAGTGCGCAATAAAAGTAGTTTCAAAATATATTTTATTATTATTTTTTCTTAGTTCTAAATATTTCAGGAAGTTAAAGGGTAACAAAAATACCAACAGGATGAGATTCGGTATGTTCCTCTTAATTCGAGGCAACGGTCCACACAGTAAAACCGCTTAAACCGCCGCCAGATACTAAAGAGACCTTCCTCCCTCTCTTGCGAGGGGAGGTAAGGTGCTTATTCTAGGCTCAAAAATACTTTTTGACTTCAACGACCATGGAGAAAAGGCACGTCAAAGCTTCGAAAGTGCCAGTGGAAACAGAAAGAGAATTATGAGCAGCGAGGAGAGGGAAACTGGTGATTTGTTATTGAATTGGATTGATGTACATGATGCTGCTGCAGTGTTAATGGGGGAAAAGAGTCGACGCCGAAGTTGACGTTGAAGTTAACGTCTTGAGGGGAGAAAAAAAAATCGTTTCCCGGGCCTTTTAAAGCAACATTCACGTGATACTTGGCGCTAGGAACATTTGGCCGCCGCCGCGCTTGGCAGAAGAAGAGGCTCTGTCGGCCTTAGATGTAGTTAGGCCTTTACGCGTTTCCCTGGCGGCATTCGAGAGCTTAGTACTTGCAACCGCCCTCACCCACAGCTTCACCAACCTTTCGATACAGCTCCAGCAAATACCAATGGATACCTCTGAGAATCTGCTCACCCACGAGGAGATATGGGACGACTCGACACTGGTCAATGCCTGGGATGAGGCTCTGAATGAATATAAGGTTGGTTGGTACCTGAGCGTTTTCTTCTTTTCCGCGGATTTGGATCTGGATTTGGATTTGCACTTTCGCGCTGAGCTTCAGATATAGTATCTGGGCGGGTTATCAAACAGGGTGGGTACAAGCTAACCATGGGCGTGCTATTAGAAATACCACAGTATCGATGCTACAGGGGAGAATAAAGCAAAGATCCTGCGCGAAGCGGAGGAGGCAGAAATGCAGGACGCGCCGAGCATGAACCAGTAAGAAGCCGCCCACCCAACGTTACAACTTATGGACATGGAGGGCTATTGCTAAGGATTTGTTGTGTTTTCTGCAGGGAAGTCATTGAGTACCAACCCTCGATTGAGGATATAGAGGACGACGCAATGGAGCACGAGGAGGCTGCTGCGCCCCATATTAAGGTTGAGGTTGAGGTTGAAACGGCCGGACAGCAGAATCAGGGAAACCATGAGCAGGTATGTATAATGACAGCCGGATAATTTACAGCAGGACAGGGAGCTGACGATATCAGGTCTCAGATACCATTACCAAGAGCACGGATGCCGAGCAACTCCCTACCAGTGCTACCACTACTACCACAACGGCCCAAGAAAAGAGTGCTACCGCCCAGGAACAGGACACTGCCGCCCAGGAACTGAGTGCCGCTGCCCAAGCCCAGAGCGAGGCACACGCACGAATACAAAGCCATCTGGATGCGCAAGCAGCTCTCCAATCAGCGCCACCACCGTTTCCGATGAAGTTTCCGGGAGACATAAAGGGTCAGGGTGAGTGTCTTGGTTTTTTTTTTTTTTTCCCTTCCCGCTCCAACTATTGCGTGTGGTTGTGTAGTCGCTGATAAGGTGAGACATGTAGATAACGAGGCGTTGAGGAATCTAATGATGTCCTGGTACTTTGCCGGTTACTACACGGGATTGTACGAGGGACAGCAGCAAGCGCAGCAGCAGCAGAATGGGGGTCAGCAGTCATAGTAGGAAGGTTCGTCATAGGTAGGTAATGTAGGTAGAGTATCTAATAATTGATAAGTATTACTTTCTCCCTATTCAAGCTCCGTTTCCAAATCATCTCGGGAAAGCGGAATAGAGCACAAAGCACGGGAAAGGATTTTAAGGAGGGAATAATTGTATTACACCCGTATCTAAGTAATTCCCGGAGCCACATAGTAACGGAGTTAGTTCTTGAATCTCAACAACCCCGCATCCCTATGGAAAAGTCTATCAATGTAGGTAAAACATACCCTGCTTTATCCATACAAATTTCTAGAGAAGTCTAGTAACGTTGTATGAAGTTATCCTCAATAATGCATACCAATCTGTGCTTCATTACTCAGAAAAACTGTTCAGGTAACTAGTCTTCCAAACTGGCCGATATACAGTCTATATTTGTTATTTGGATGGCTCTGGGTTAATTCAATCGGCCGGAACTGGAAGGGTATTCTCTGTAGTGTTGTTTCATGCAAGTATTAGACACGGCCAAAAGCAAAGGGTAAAGTCGATGCAAAGCAAATATTCTTCTGAGATACAGCTGCGGATGTACCAGGATGAAATCACAAATACTTGAAAGAAAGACGGTGATGAACCCAACCCCAACATGACTTCCTTCTCGCTAGAGCTAAGCTCCCAGGGGCACGAGACGGGTCATGTAGGGCTCAGGAGAGAGAAACGCAGGAACATTCCCAGAAAACGATCCCCGAGATCTGTGGTTGCGAAGGGACCAGGGACCGGAACCCTGTTAGCGCCCAACTCAAACGCAGTCAAGCTTTCTGATACACGCCCCCAGACGCCCCCAGACACCAACAAGACGTCGCTCCTGAACTGCGGGCCCTGACCCCACCACAACCGAGGCGCCGCTACTCTGTTTATAGAAATTTATAGAACTCCAACGGCCATTTTTGGTAACTGTGCTTGGTGAAGACAGCCAGTTACTGGTTCGGGCATTTGCAACAGATCTCTAAATGGAGAGTTCCTTGCAGGGAAGAAAGAAAAAATACTGTTGCATCTGAAAGAAGGCCTAGGCACTGTCTGCAGATGGATGACATCTCGTGTGCCCACATAATACTAAATACGGGGCTGCAGAGTTTGGAAGCTGTGAATATAAACATAAAGCTCTCTGTCACCTTTCGGTTTTCTCTTTCCTTCTTACTTTACTTACTCCTCATCCTACTTGCACTCTTTCTTTCCTGGGCCGAGTTGTTTCCTTCTTTACGTCTTTATTTGCCTTTCTCTTTATTGTACTCTTTGCGAGTCGGGACTCGACATCTTTATCTTATATTCCTCCTCTCCTCTTCCTCCTACTTTGCCTTACGTACTGCTTCCTCCGCTGAGCGGTCCTACTCCACCCATAAAGTAATTTCCCGATATCAAAAAAGCCCAATATGAGATTCACCACAGCCCTGCTGGTCTCCTCCGCCGCCGGCATATCTCTAGCCGCACACGAAGCCGTCACATTCGCCTGGGCCTCACCCGCCGAGACGACTGTCGTCCCAGCCATGGTGGAGAGCTCATCCAGCAGCTCGGCCATGATGCACGTTGCCAGCACGAGTTCAGCAGCAATGGCGCACACAGCAATGACAAGTTCTGCAATGGCCGCCGAGGCCACAAGTGCTGCTGCTATGACTACAGCTATCGGCGCATATACAGCTTCCATGGCTGCGCCAGCAGCTTCGGGTGGGCCAGCAACACACACTGTAAGTAGCTATGCATATGTGTGATATTCCCTAATACTTGAGAATTGATCATTGACCCTGTCTATAGGTTACTGTCGGCGGCACCGCAGGCTTAGTCTATGCGCCCAGCCAGATCGTAGCAGCGGTAAACGACGTGGTCCAATTCGTGTTTATGTCGCAGAACCACACAGTGACAGAGTCAACCTTTGCCCTTCCCTGCAACAAGAAGGCGGCCGACGCACCGGACTCGGGCTTCATGGCGAACCCAAACAACACTATTGTGCCAGCCCCAACATGGGAGTACACCGTGACGGGCACGGAGGCGACCTGGTGGTACTGCAAGCAGCGGACGGGCACGCACTGCGGCAAGGGAATGGTGTTTGCCATCAACCCGACCGTGGAGAAGACGTTCGACACTTTCAAGGCTGCGGCCATCATGCTGAACGGGACTGCCGCCACGACGACCGCGAGTGCCACTGCCGCCGAGACGACCGCCGCAGGGACAGTTACGCTGATTGCCTCGACGACGAGCCAGCTGACGGATGCGGTGGCAACGGCCACGGGGGGTGCTGCGCCGATCCAGACCGGGTGGAACGAGGGTGGTGCTTCGTGCCAGTGCGCGTGCTTTTGTGGGGTTGCGGCGTTCCCGCAGGGGGATGGAATTGGAGCTTATGGTGGTTATGGAGGTATTTCATCTCGTTGAGCGAGTGGTGGTTGATTGTGTATCATAGCTGATTTCTGGTGTAGGCTCTCTTCCCGCTCCTTGGTAGATGGTGGCTTGCATTTGCTTCCTCTGCTGTTGGCTAGCTAGCTAGCTAGCTTCACGTTTTTTCTTTTGCTTTTTCCTTTGTCTTTTTTCGTATTAAGACCTTCTTTGCATTTGATTATGGGCGAGACCCTTATAAAATCTAATTCTGCTTTACTATTATTCTTTTGGGACGGGCTTCTCGAAAACCTTGTCACACTGCCAGTTAGTTTAATCCTTCTTACCCAGGCCCTTTTATCATCTCCCTCCTCCTCCTCCTCATCATCACCATCATCATCCCTCCTCTTCTTATCCTTCTACTTCTTCTTAAGCGGCTTCTTGAGATTTGTGTACGTTGTGTATATATATTCCTTGGGAAGCTTTATTTATTTTCATTTGTTTTTTTATAATTGGGTCGCGGTCGATCGTGGGGAGGATAGATATGCTGGTTCGTATATAGCTAGTTTGTTTGGTATGTGGGCGTGTTTGAAGAATAAAATTGAAATGCTGTGGGCCATCGAAGTACATGTATGCTTTGATAGTTGTGATATGCATGTAGTCCCTACGTGCACCAGAGGCTGTATGGTTTATCTGTCTATAGCCACATAGTAGGCCTTTACTTTTCATTTACTGTGTGGCCCTATGTTCAACCAGAACCCCCGAGTCCCTTCGTAGTTCCTAAGAGTAACTCTAGTTTTAATAGTTGACTATGGATTCCCAATTGATCAATAGATGTCCTAGGATATAATACTTATTTATCATTGACCACTCAAGTTAAATAAACCATAGTTTGAATCGCACCACGACATTATGCTATCTCAAATTCTGGACTAGTTTTATAGATACGTAACACGCTGAAGCTCCCAATACAAGCGTTAAATCTGCGTAAAGTAACCATAACTCTTCTTCATGCACTCCTATCTGCATGGGCGTGTGGGGCCGATCAATACCTCTTTCAAATGTTACTATTTGGAATTATTAAACCCCACCAAACCTGCACGTTTTGGAAGCCGCACTCCCGACACCGCATACCAACTCTCTTTTCCTCAATATTAACATCAATATTGAAACCCGGGGCCGGGAAAACAGGGCTGCAACAAGTCTTGGCAACCCCCCCAAACCGCACCGACAGCTCCCCCAGCTCAAAGCTCAAACATAACATATCACAGCTATCCCCTACTCCCGAAACATGGCATCCCCCGACCCTTCCCCCGCCTCCGAACTCACCGCCTTCTTCCACGCCCACCGCAACACCCCCGTCTCCATCGAGTTCCACCCCCCGCACACACCCCTCCTCACCTCCGGCCTACACATCGCCATCCCCAAGACCCACCTCCTCGCCGCCTTCCCCGCCGCCTACCACACCTTCAGCACGCTCCACCCCACCACCACGCCCTGGAGCGCATCCGACGCCCGCGCCCTCCTCGACGCAACCCTCATCCTCATCCTTGTCGCCGCCGAACACACCACAGCCGTCAACACGCGGCGGCGCATCCTGCAGCTGGAGCTGAGCGAGGATGTGGTGACGCCACGCGAGGAGATGGCGCTGCTGCAGGGCGTGCTGACGAGCCATCTGGCGAAGCATAACAAGTCGCCGAGCCTGTGGGGGTATCGCCAGTGGATTGTGGAGCGCTGCGGGGTGGGTGTGTTGGGTGATGGTGGGCTGGTGGGGGAGCTGGAGGTGGTGAGGAGGAGTGGGGAGGCGCATCCGAGGAATTATTATGTGAGGAATAAAAACTCAACCCACTTTGCTCTGTGGGAGAATGGGTCGCTCATGAAGGGGTAGGGGTAGGCTTGGAGCTATGCGCGGTTTATCGTCGATAAGTTCTACTCGTGCGGTGATGGGTCTCCTTGCCCAGGCAATGATGCACCACCCCCGCCACCGCCGCCGCTGCTGCGGGAGTTGGTGGAGAGCCATGCGGCATTGTGCAGGACGCATGTGTCAGATACTAGCTTCTGGTCTTTCCTACTGTTCCTGTTCTGGAGAGCGCGGGAATCGACGTCGTCTGGTGATGATTGTGGATATATATTCAGCATCACGAAGGACGCGGCGATCTATGCGCATGATATGGCCAGAGGGCATGAGAGTGTGTGGATATTTATACGGACAGTCATTGTTGATGAAAAGCTACAACTGAAAGACGCTGAGCGGCAAGAGCTGATTGGGATGGTGGAAGGGTGGGTACAAGAGGCAGAGACTGCCGGGAATGAAGATGAAGAGCTGGTGATCGAGAAGGAGGCCTTACGGTGGATATCGAGAAGATCTACTACCGCCTCAGAGACTCCACTGGCGGCAGAGAAGTAATTAGTTATCAATATCTAGAATTATTGTTATATCTAGAACTCCTGTTAGTGCCTAAATGGCTGTTTGTCAGTAGATAAGACACCGAGTGACAGCCCATGATGCGAGACTTGGCCCAAGCACCTGCACGGCCAGAAATGGCGTTGTGCAGGTCACTCCCCTTCCCCTCCTTTCCACCACGACTTGTGTGATATCATGCGCAGCCCAAACGCCTTCTCCCACAGCCAATGAAACACCCTCCCTCTCTGCATAATATCCAATATCCAACCAACATACAGCACAAGAAAAAATACGAGCGAGAGAGAGCCCTATCAATCTGACAGCTGCACAATGTCTCACTCCTCACGCATACAAAGAGGAGCAGCAGCAGGAGGAGGGGAAACCCGCCGCGCCCTCTTCCCACAGCAGCTCTCCCGCTCCCACTCTCACTCCATCACCACTACGTCCGGCCTCTCCCTCCACCAAAACCCTCCTCCCCCGCACCTTCCCTCCCCCTCACGCACCCGTCAATTCTTCTCCACCCCGCCATCCCCGTCCACCTCCATGCCAATGCCGCCACCCACCACCAACCCCAACACCACAGCAGCATCAGCAGGAGCAGCCCCTACTACGGCAGCAGCAGCATCAGCAGCATCAGCAACAACAGCCCACGAAAAGATGTGGCACGAGATGCAACAAAAGCTCGAAGAGGTCTCCCTCTCCGGCGACCACGTCTTCGGCAGCACCCACTCAAAGTCCCTCGCAAACCTACGCACCGCCCAGGTCGAGCTCGCCCAGGCCTGGATGCGCAGCGAGGAGGACGACCTCGACAACAAACACACTGTGTTTGGCCGCCAGGCCTTTGCCCCCGCCGCTTCCGGTGGTGCTGGGGCGTCCTCGTCCGTGGCGACCGTGCAGGAGCAGGACGAGGACCTGCTGCTGGCCGGGGAGCGCAGGAGGGCGAATGATGCCCACTTTGCCAGGGTGGCCATGAGTGTGGCTGATGTGACGAGGCAGCTGGAGAATGTGGCGAGGGCTATGGCGGGCGTGGAGCTGGAGAGTAGGGGCATTTGGGCGGCGAGTAGTGACTCGGATGGGAGCTCGCTGCTGGGTTGAGTTCTTGGGGATTGTAGATATTGGTCGTTTTTTTCTTTCTTTCCTTTTGATTATTCTTTTTGTTTGCGCTATTGGTTTTTTGTGGAGTTTGGGTGAAGCTTCAAGAGCCTCTTTCTTGTTCTTGAAGAGCTTATTTTTTGTTATACACATTTACATAATAGGGCATTCACAGGACTAGACCGGACGGATTGCATAGAGCAGACCGTTGATGCGAATTGCCCGGCATTGGGCCTTTAATGATTGATATAGCTAGTAAACCCACCTCCCAGGGACCATCCTCCTCCTCCCGTTCGTTCGTTCGCACAGTTTTTTCAGCATCGCGCCGCGTCCACCAGACATTAAACCAATAAGTCATACTGCATGACATCTAAATATAACACCGATCCACAAACTAATGAGAAAGAAAGATATATGAAACGTAAATCAAGAAAGAAGATGAAAGTTGGAACGGCAAGTCTTTGATTTGGATAACATGCCGACATCTGTTGCCAATAGAGAGAAGAAAACTAAAGCCAGAAATAAATAAAAAAGACACGCAAAAACACACCGACTCCCTTATGGACTAGTTTTCAGGATGGCTGGCGTCTCTGTAGTTCTGTTTCCGCTTGTCACGGCCTCGTCCGCTCCGGCTTTAATGTCGTTCTGGATACTGTCCTGTAACCTCTTCTCCTGCCCCTCCTTGGGAGGACTCTGCGCATCCTCGTCGTCAGATGAAGCTTCCGATTGAGCCATGGAGCCACGTGGGGTCTGTCTTGCACGCATCTAACCGGGTTTCATTAATCTCAAATCTCATCTGAATATATTTCCGCCAGGGATCAGCTATCCACTCACCCAAGATCTAACTCCGCCAATGAGACCTAGCGAATATCCATTCGCAAATTCGGTGTGCGGCGATTGTGGCCTGGAAGGCGGCTCCAAATGTGAAAGGTGGCTTTTCTCGCCGCTCACATCTCTATTTGATCCGCTTGATCCACCATATGTTCCAAAGAGATATGGCGAAGACGACCTGGGAGAGGAAGGCGCCCAGTAATTTCGGAATTCGTCCCGAAGCTCTCGCCCGGTGGTGGACCAGTTGTTCTTGATGGTTTCACGCAGCTCAGTGACGTGGCGCTTGAGATCGAGCTCGTTCTTCTTGAGCCAAGAGACATTGAGCTCTTGACGGCTAGTGCCCCGCTTGAGCTGTCGAATGATATATTTCTCGTAGTCACGCACGATCCTATCATTCCCGCGTCAGTACTCTACCAAAGATCGGATAATCAATTACGCCGGTATATCTCACTTTGTAATAATGTAGGTAGTCGAGATACCCTCTGTCCGTTGGGTCACGAGGAATTTGCCGGCTTCTTTGCAGGGGCGGTAAATGTCATCGGAATCCGCACTTGCATACGGCTCATCGTCGTGCGCGACATAATCGATCGAGTGCTCGTCCAGGAACTCAGGGGAAACAATCCATGGTGCGTTCTCGATGACCTCGTCTACCCATTTACAATGACGAAGCGTCTCCGCTCTCTCTTGGTCTGTAAGAACCGTGAGTCCCTTGCGCTTGTGGGTTTCCGTGTCGTTAGGGATTCCAACAAGAAGGTAGGTATTTGGGAATGCCTTCTTCGCTTGTTCGAGCTGTCGCATGTGCCTGGGCGCCCAATAACTTGTGTTAGAAACTTTTCTTTTTCCTCTTTTCTTCTGCATACCCGAATAAATGGTAAGCACAACGGGAACCCAAGCATAAAACTCACCCAAGATGGAATAGGTCGAATACTCCATCAGCATACACCCTCACCGGTCTATCAGTGGGAGGAGGATTCATGGAGTACCCCGCGGGAGCCAATGTACCTCCCTTCTCTGGCGGTGCCATAGGTGGGGGAGCAGGTGGCCCGTCCACACTCCCAGTGCTACTGGAACTTGCGCTCGAGTTTGTCCTCGTACCACTCAGTGGACGTCTCCCATCTCTGACACGGCCCTGGATGGCGCTGCTGGCTTCCGTAGTCGACGACTTATCACCTTCATCAACATCATTACGGTCCAGCGAATGCCTCTTAGCTCGCTTCGCCGGGTGGCCGCCCGCGACTGAATCCACTCCCGGAGCGCCAACTCCAGCTGTAGGAGCAGAATCATAGGAGAGCTCTCCATCGGCCTCTTCGCCTGAGGTTGGCTGCTGGTTTGAAGGGTTTCCCTCCATGGAAAGACGATTGTCGGAGGTTCTCGAGTTTAACCTCTTGCGCTTATTAACAATTGAACTCGATGAGGACGACATGACTGCTTTAGATGTTGCTGAGTTTTAGAGTAACAGGGGAATTTTTATAATAAAGATCAAGGAAAAAATAGAAGGTGGTTGGAAAGTCTGTTATTTTTTTTCAAGCCGGGAGATCCAAAGTGTCGGGTCTAAGTTCTTTCTTGGAGGTCAACCTCCTTTTTTTGAACCTTTTTTATTTTATTTTTCCTCAACTCTGTCTTTCTTGTTATCGGGATTCGGAAGCGGAAGCAGGGTTTTTTTGGTGAGAGAGAGGGAAAGGGGTGGTGGTTCACGTCAACATTCGACGGAGGTTTTGTTGGCGAAAACCTGGCGTAGAGATCAGCACAACAGCCTTTTCGCGATGTTGCTTGTGATAATGCGTTATGGTAAGAATTTAGAGGCTCGAATTGAACGGGGGCCGAAAAGATGAGGTCAAAACTTGATTTAAAAAGGATTGGACAAGGGAGGGAGGCTTGCCGGTGTGGAAGCTATATGTGTACTCTACCAGTAAAACGTGTTGAAGCTCCTGTTCTTACAGGTTGATTTTATCGGTTGATAGATGGAAGGTTTCAGAGAGTCCTCAGACAACTCTCCTTCTCTATCTCTATCTCTCTGGCATCACCAACACCTCCTCCTCCTTCTTTAAGTTAAGCTACCTGTTCCGCTTCTCCTAGGTCCACGCTTCTTTCATTTGATGGGAATTTGACATGACACTAACCGAACAGAAACGGCGAGGTGAGGCTGGTAAGATGCATCCGTCATCGTTTTGGCACAGCCACAACGCCCCAACCATAAAATGCACCCTAGCCCTAACAGGTTTTAGAGATAATATTGTAATGCCCAACAGTTTTTACCTGCTGTCAAACATGCTTTAACAGAGAAAGTACTCGTGTTTTCACAGCGTTTGTGAACACAACCGGCATTACATACACACAAAAAATAGCCAAGACAACCTTTTGTATGGCATGCAATAGCGGTGGTGTTCACAAACGCTATGAATAGACGAGTACTCAGTCGTTAATTAAAAGGTCGGGGTTTTTAGTAAGCATTTGGTTGCAACGATATCCGACTCTAAATAATATAGCATGTGCGTATTTACGTACGCGTATGGAGTCCCTACGGCAAATACATCATGATTTTAGTTGATTTTCGGTTTGCCTTCTAAGCTTACTGTATTTGTCTATCATACAGGTTCTACCAATGCAGGCAGCTTCATAGAGCTCGTATATACATGCGTGTGTGGATATGTAATTATTACAATAAATCGATATATGCTATCCCTTTTCGCCGTGACTCCCAACACGCTATGTATAGCCACTTTAACAATTATAAAACAAAACAGATGAAGGCAAAATAACAAGCTCTGTACAAAAACAGAACTACAGTCGCTACAGTGCAAAGAGGAAAGAGGGAGAAAGAAAGAAAACCAAGGAGACAGTACGTAGCTGTAAGTGATTGGGGAGACGAAAGGAAGCGCAGCAAGAAAAAAGAACACACCTGACGAATCTTCCGGTCGAGCACCGAGCCCTTTGCCTTTCCTTAGGCTTATCTAATGAATGACCTATGCAAACTAGAATGTAAGAGAAAGGGAATAAAAATGAACAACCCAATAAAAAGCAAAGAAAGTCATTATCATCACTTTGTCGCGGTTGGCCCTTGCATTTGTTATCCATCACAAGATGCTGCGTGTTGCGTCTGGTGTTTCTGTTTGCCGTAGGGCCAACCATCTCAACCATTCAAACTTCGCTTTCTCCCACGATAGCAAAGATCACACCACTCCCAATGCAAACTGAAGCAAAGGCCAACCATACCATCGCTTGATACAATACCCCAACCCTCAATCGTTTCGTTAAAAACATCACTAAACCTGTTCCTGCCATTATCAAAGCAACCAACACAGCACTGCAAACTTCGATATCTACCGTAAACCCTCTTTTACGCCATTTGTGCTTATGACTTAATATGGTCGAATTCATTGCCAAAATGGCTGTAACAGAAAGAATGAAAACAGAACCCGCAAGACAATAAATGTCTGCTCTATAGGTCGAAGACTGTGAAACATCAAACCGCGAAGATGCAGCGCGGCGCCGGTGTGCAGAGCGAGTACTTAATAACATTCCCGTTTCCACATCAACCTCGCCTGAAGACAGAGAGCTTGTCATGCTTGGTTTACGTAGGAGAGGCCGGCGTTCTGCTCTCGTCTCGGGGCTCCGGATAAAGAACCTTTGTATTTTGATTCCTGTAGAAACAAAGCCTTTTTTGATAAACTCCCCAAGTGTGTCATCATCATCAAACCCATCATCGGAGGATGCTTTGCGACTGACGATTATTGTATAAGGCTCCTCTTCGTTGTCCGTAGCATCATTAAACTCGCTCCAGTAGCGCTCACCACCGATGCTTTCGATTTCAGATAGTCCACTTTTGGTCCTGTTGTATTTCCTTCCGTTCCGGTAACCAGTGCCCGAGCCACTCTCATACGCTGTCGCTGAAGAATCAAACCCATCAGTAAAATCATGAGCCGCTGTTGATCCCCCGACTGATGCTGCTTTTGAATTTGGGGCAAATATTAAATGTGCTGAACTCCGCCGACTGTGTCGCGGTGTGTGTATTGGTGTTTTTCGAATATCTTTCTGCAATGCCGATACCTATTTAAGTGTTAGTAATTCGGCATAATACACAGGGGAAAGGGCTCTATTACCCAAAATGGTGCAGTCATTTTCTTTGGTCGATAGAGCTCTGCAACTGCATGCACGTCGAGTGAGAATCCTCTCACGTTTTCAACCTAAACAAAATCAGTTAGTGTCTACTTAATGCAACTCCCCACGTGGCAAACTAACCATATGGCTGGTCTCAAGTTCCCTCACAAGCCCTGGCATCTCCTCCCCTTCCCACTGCACTTCAAGCACTGCATGCGGAAATTTCATTGTAGTCCCGTTTCTTAAGCCCCTTCCTAGATCATCTACTCCTGGATCGTTCATCCACTGCATGCCCTTTGTGATTTTGAACATTCTGATATCCCAGTCAAGGAGAGCCCAGACTGGACTACCGTCCGGAGTGTCTGCAAATCTTGTACGCTTCGTCAAAATTTTGACTAAAGGCGCAACATTTTTGTGTCTGGCAAACCACCCCTTGATTTCTTTCAATTTGGGCGCCTCTCCGGCGTCCGCCAACTCAAAATATGAATCGGACCCGGGCGACACCATTTCAAGTAACCCTTGGACGTGCTTTCGTTTCATTTTGACTTCTAGTGTCTCTCCAGAATGGGCATCATTGCCATTTAGTATTGTAGAGGAAGCATCTGAAACTACGACAACAGCTTCCGAATCTCTGGAACACCATCTAATCTGTCCTGCAGTTCGCAGCCCAGCCTTGTTGACTTCGGCGATAGTGGCGGTGCTTTGTACATCAGAAAAGCTATCCAAATCATCCAAAACTACCACACCAACCTCATCGTCCTTCCCGACAGGCCCAAGCCACGAGTCTCTGTGTGCCAGCGGCGTTGATGGGATGCTAGAAGACGGCGATGTTGTCTGCAGTGTCAAATATTTCATTAGAAGCACTTGAACCTCGATAAGATGGTCGTAGTGAACCCAGAATGTCGCCTTTCCGCCGTTACCACCACTCGAAGCTGACATGGCCAAGACAGTATCAATATAAGCTTGGCTTTCAGATGTTATTGTGTGAGAGTTGCCGTTGTCACAAGATTGGCTGTCTTTAAATGTGGTCTCTTTGGGGGAACGATTATACTGCCCAGTCAGGGCCGCGAGTTTGAAAGAATCGAATCCACTCCGTACAACAATCAATAGATCCGAGAGATCCAACACGTTTTTTTCAAAATCAATCTTGTGAAAGGAAGTGGGCGACTCCAGGATGGGGAGAAAACGAGTCGTGAGGTGTGATGAACCAGTCCATTTCTTATATTTCTTTAAAAGCTTGATGAAGCCGGTATGCTGTACATTCACGAAGCGGGATAAACTTTGGATTTCGTAGCTCACACTAGATATCTAAGTCAGTTCATTGTAACACAACCTGTCGTACCCCACTAGGATGGGATGAATTTGGAGCGAATTTACCGTTCAACCTCTTGCTCAACTTTTGCGTAACGACTCGCTTTTCGAGACGTAAATCCGTCTGTTGGGTCCCGTCTACGAAGTGGTGCAACTTGTTTATTGCAGCGAACTGGCGCACGTCAGCGGGGAGGTCGCTATCTAACAAATCTCAGACATACCTATACGGCGATCGATTTCACCAGCTTTGCTTTTAACAAATAGATCGATCTATGAAAAAGATCAGTTCTTGTCGTTGGTGGAGAATGTAGTGAAGAGCTCCATACCCTTCCCAACTGGTCCATGAAAATCTCAAAGAACTCATCTTCAAACCCCGTTTTCAGCTCCGGTACCTGTACAAGGGGTTTTCCGGTGGTGTATCGTTTTATTAGTTGCTTGATTTCGCTATAATCAAGGTTATCTAAAGATTTTATAGATCAGTAATTAATTTCCAGATAAAGGGACAAAAGGAGCAAGGGGTGAGTAAATACTCACAAGGGAGCCATTCCGGTACGGAACGCTGGGGAAGCGCCTCTCCAAATTTCATCGGATGTGTAGTGAATGTAGTAGGATGTAGACACACTGCAAACTTTGTTGAAGAATTGAGGGCTGTAGGAGGCAGATAAGGCCGGATAAGCTTCAATCAGCGGCGACCGGAGGAAAGGAGTGTAATGGGCGGTGGGAAATGAGAGTTGATGAGTATCTGTTCGCGAGTCCGGCTGTCGCCTTATCACAATTAAGAAAATAAGGGTGTCAGAGGCGAGATGATAAATATTTGAAGAGCACGGGAGCAATTGCAGAATCTGGGAGCGTAAGATGCAACGAGACGCAGTCGTGCAGCAAGGTAGACAGGGATGATCTAGAATCTTCGGGTGTAACGGACACACTCCGGCAGCTGCAAAGCTGCCTCGCTGATGTATGGATGGAATCTCTCAAAGAGACGTTTCTTTGGTGGAATTCCTAGAGAGATTTATAGTTAATTACATGTATTTATATACGAGTTCTTCTGAAAGCTTTAGCAGAGAGGAAACTGTCAGCTGGTGTTGAAAGTTGTGTAAGAAGAACGCAAAGAAGAGGAAAGGGAAATGAATAGGTAACACCTTTGGTAGTGATGGTGATTGTTACGAAAATTTTGATTGTGGGGGTTGAGTCGTGAAGAGCAAAAGAAAAGTGGTAATTGTCGATGGCGAGCTTCGATCATAACGCCAATCCAAAAACACCTATACGAATCGAGCTTTGCCATCACCTTTACTGTTCCGGGTACGTAAACGCGTCTTTGTCTTTAATTTCAGCTTTCCCAGGGACTTAGCTTCTACAAGCGCCTATACTCTAGCCAACCAACCCTTGGTGATGATGGATCTTGGTTTGTTACGTCGCTGGTACATGTATTTTTAGCTCATCCATTCAAATGTACTCTATAAACTGGACTCCTAGATAAGCCTATTAGGGTTGAGATGTTCCCCTTGACTCAGATCCCTTCAACGTCATGATAAATCGTTTGTTCGAGCTTGAAGACTTTGAAAGAATAACGTTCTTTGTTTGCTTGAGCCGCTAGACGAAGCTCATCGCCAACATCCTAGCATCATCCATCATGCGATCACTAAAGCCAGCCAGAAAGGGGGCTTTGCTCTAGTCAAAACCCATGTATCTCGGCAACTAAAAAAACTTGAACTCTGCCCGCGTTACCGCAAAATCTCAGGAATAACGAATCGAACTGGACTGGAATATTTTGCTTCGGATTGGTCAAATGCTTGTTGAGCCTCAATCCGACAAACCCAAAGCGTAACTTTTGGTCGTCTTGACCAATGGGTAAGTGGTATTCCAGCCCAGTTCGATTCGTTATTCCTGAGATTCTGCGGTAGTAGAAAACATCATGGCGAACCACTGCAAAAAAAAAATTGGTTTTTGTCCTGTCGCCGAGATCCCCGCTCAAAGATAACTGAGTGTTTCACCTCATCTCTTTGGAAGATGGTTGCATACTTAAACTTCGAATATCATCCAGCAATTCACGCAGTACGTATCAGTCGGCAATCCTTCGGATAAGTGTTTTCAGGTCGGTCAAGATCGACGGTTAATGATAACAAATATCTAAAGCCGTACCATACATAAATACCATACTCCGACATGTGCCGGTTAAGTTGGTATCAAAATCAAACGGTAGATTCTCAAAACTATTTGATGCCATCGAGGCTGCATAAGTGCTCCACGAGGGAATAGTCCAGAGTATGAGGTAGTCAGGCCAGTGCAATTGCTAGAGTACCCTTGCTCCCCGGATTTTCAAATAGAAACTGCTTTTTCCTTAGAGAAGTTTGCACACGTGTTTGAACGATGAACAACAATTGGTTCATGAATTCGTCATGTTCCAGATATGCGAGTGCCTGCAGCTGAGAATGAAATGCTTGTAGGGGGCCTATTGGCGTTTACATACTAGAATAAAGGTAACCGTTATCGCAGGAGTTCATATATATGCTTTTGGAGGGATCCGAATATTGGATTAAGTTACTCCACGGATAAATGCAGCTGTGATGTTGTACTCACATTTTGACAGGCTCCGGGGGGGGGGATTCCGTCGGTCTGGCTGAAGAGGGCTAATGTGAATTACATGTAGCTTTCCAGGCTACATACAAGTGTCTATGCCGCTCTTCACACTGCGGCCCGCTAAATCGTTACTCTACTTCAAATTCTATCACCCCCATTACATGTTTACAATTGAACATGATTTTTTTTTGTCCCTAATAGAGGTGGAGAGCCGGACTTACGAAAGTTATTATAACGATAAGTAAGCATATTCAACAATATACCCGCTACATGTATCAATGCGGAGAGACCATTTGGGATGTACCATACATATGGCGCGAGAAGGCATAGGGGGTGGGTGTGTCAACATCAGAGGAACTTTTTTTATATGGGAATTAAAGAAAATTCCACCGTCAGACTAGGCGCTAGTACCATTATGGGGGTAGATCTCCCAATTCCTATAGATTGATTGGCTGCAAACGCCGAAGTTTACACACCTACCATAGCTTCTCGAGCCATACATGTGAGGATTGTCGGGAACCCGGATGAAAGACGCCGGAATCGGCAGGCCCGATAAACCTGCACTGGTAACACAAGCATTTCCGGAATTTTATACTTTACCTAAGGTGTACGCGTGCACGTGAATCAACATCAATACCTACTGAGACTTCAAGCCTGCAGTCACTGATTACGTCCCAATGGAACGAGGTATACAATACGGGTTACAGTACGGCAGAGTACAAGACCGAGGTATATGTAGTTACATGTAGGCAGGGTATAAGATTAGAGAGAGATTTCCACTACTCGAAAGACACATCTATCTTTCCTATTCAATTCTAGCGCTGCATTTTAGAGTACATGTACGGTACATGTATCCAAATGATGCACACGCTATCACTCGCTGGATCTACCACACACATACTACTTACATAAGCTGCTTCGCAATAATTATAATCAGGTGATCCAACGATATACAGCGAAAGCTTGCTATAACGGTACGCTCGGGACCGGAATTTGGCACCGTTATAGAGAGATTACCCTTATATTAGAGGTGCTGGTGCTGAAAGCCAGGCAAAAAGGACCGAGAAGTGCTACCGTTATAGAGAGATTGCCCTTATAGAAAGTACCGTTATAGCAAGCTTTCGCTGTATTGGTAAAATAATAACTGGCCTCTTTCATGTGATACGTAGAAGGCCTACACATGAAGAAGAAGACCCAGGAGTTCATGCGTAGAGTACATGTATCTGAAATACCACATGGTTTAGACCCATTGGGAATAGTGTGTAACACTGTCAGTCGGGTTTATTGGAAAAAGGTGACCTTGAGAGATCTTGATCACCTAACAGCAAAGACAGGCACATGATGCCTTTACTACATGTACTAGCGGGTAGGGGTAAGTCTGTTGACAGTGGCCGTGGTTGCAACAGTTCTCACTGTCAACAGACTTACCCCTACCCGCTAGTACTTGATCTCAACCTTCTTTTCCGTGATAGATCTGAAGCCGTATTTTGAGACTTACACAGGCACTAATACGGACTTTATTAAAATATTCTCAGTATTCAGCGTGTGTACTCTACATGTAGCTTAGGCCAGCATCTCATGTAAGAACACCAATACACCTGGATACATGTGTAAAGCGCTCCAGCGGTGGAATAATGATAGATATGACACTATATGGTGTACTTAGTGGCCTGTCCAATCCCTTTGGTCAGTTGTTGTAGGTACTCACTCCGTGGCAGGGTAATGTGTTACCTGACTCAGCGTGACTGACATCCACCCTTGCTAGGGTCTAAACCCTGTTCTTAGCCCACAATCCGATAACGCAGACCACACAGAACATTCTATACACCCAGCGACAACTCAAGGACATCACGACAATCTCCCAGCCAGAAACAACCACCAAATAACTCAAGATGGGAAAGTGAGTTAAATAAAGATCCAAGCATTTGTTAAAATGATGTAGGGGATTACTGACGATTTTTCGCGTTTTTCTAGAGGTAAACCAAGAGGTCTCAACGCCGCGCGCAAGCTCCGCACCCACCGCCGTGACAAGTACGAATCTCCTTCACTACAGCTCGGCATCGACAATTTAAAAGATATTTACTAACACACTTGCAGTCGCTGGGCCGATCAGTCTTTCAAGAAGAGACTTTTAGGAACTGCCTTCAAGTCTTCTCCCTTCGGTGGATCCTCTCACGCCAAGGGAATCGTCCTCGAGAAGGTCGGTGTCGAGGCCAAGCAGCCTAACTCTGCCATCCGGAAGTGTGTCAGGGTACAGCTTATCAAGAACGGAAAGAAGGTCACCGCTTTCGGTATGAAATCCTCTACTCCGAACATGGGTGGCGAATATGTGGTTGGGAAGGTGGGGAGTTGGACAGCTTGGGGAAAGGATGAGGAACAGCAATGGAGATGGGGCGCAGTAATTGGTTAGGAATTGACGGCTAACGGGGAATTTGGTGTAATAGTCCCCAATGATGGTTGCTTGAACTTTGTTGATGAGAACGACGAGGTCCTGCTCGCCGGTTTCGGACGTAAGGGAAAGGCCAAGGGTGATATTCCCGGTGTTCGTTTCAAGGTCGTCAAGGTTTCCGGTGTTGGTCTTTCCGCGTAGGTATCCCCGATTCCAACTCTGGTATGGATGTAAAGCTAATTGATGTTACAGTCTGTGGAAGGAGAAGAAGGAGAAGCCCCGTTCTTAAACAATTTTTCGTTTTGGATTTGGTTTCTTTCTCCCTCTCTTTTTTTTTTTTGCTTCATGATAAATAAATGAAATGTCTGGCAAAAGTCCCAATCAAAAGTAATAGAGTTTTTCAGTGCAACCTTTCAGTGACACCTGTATCTCTAATTGCCATATATGTTATGGTTGCCTCTTTGGAGATGCCGATCAAAGGCGTCTGAGGAAGAATAATATTTTAATTTATCGCGAATAGATATGATTCGCCAAGAATTACTTGTCCGACGACTACAAATATTTTTCCCTAGTTCGTTTTATGGGTACAGAAAGCTGAAGCTTTCTTGCTTGTTAGTTTGCCTACAGCGAAAGGGTGGTCTTCGTCTATATATTCCGGAAGTCGCACATGCCCGCCTAACAAAGGGGTGTCTTATCGTCTTTTTATTAAGGAGGTACCTGGATTGCTGGCCATGATATTGGGGTTGCCGGTTTGTTTCTTTTCTTTAGTCAATAGAAGCTAGGTCAATCGAGTCGATAAATACGTGTGAAAAACCGACTCACGATAATCGAATTAAAAACTCACGATCGATCGACCGAGTGATACCTGATGATCGATATCTTAAGAGCCACCAAGAACGCGATATACGGCCCCAATTACAATATTTTAACCTGAAATTGGTTCCGACTTGATTATAGACGTGAGATTTCATTCTATAACATTTCAGCTTAAAGGTAACCATTTATCCGTCAAATCGAATTACCTACATGTATTAATACCCAAGATGTAGTCATTGACATACCACAACCAGAAAGATATATCGGAATCATCAAAGCATAGTGTTATGAATAATTGGGGAAGTCAGCGTCTACCTACCTACTCTTCGATTTTCTTCAAACTGGGCCAGATATATACCGAACCGAACTTTGAGCTGCAGTACTCTACATACCCAAGGATTGGTTTTGTCTAGATAAAAACCGGGGACCCCATTATTCGGGCCTCGTAAGCTTTAGTAGCTATGCATATATGGGGGATAGTTGTTTGAGAAAATTTATTTACCAAAATTGTAAAGAGGCGATAATTATATAAAGCGACTTAATATTAAATACTGTTCACTACCGTGGTAGATCTATAGATATTTCGATACCCTAATTAAATATATATTACTAATTTCCTAGATGCATGTACATACAGTATGTTTATCTATTAACTACATTGACAAGCTATATAGGTACATGTACTACTATTTGTTACAAAGTCCAGACAGGTTAGGGTTTTTGATAGTGGTAATGGCCCTGCTATTCGCAACTACATTACAGGTAGCGCCGAATGCGTGCGTGAATTACATATCGATGTTTATTTTCATTACATCGAATCCCACGCATATCCGAGCCATTGGACAGGGCCGGATCTTTATACATACACATTCCTTTAGTTATCAGCAGTTCCTCGAACTGATGGTTAATTTCATATGCGGCCGGAGGCCGCTCCTCACTAGTAACTACATAAATATCTACTGCGGTAGTGTAATAATGAATTCGGCAGGCGAGGTATTTATATAAGAGCCGTTAAATACTTCAGTCCTAATGTAATTTAGTGGGTGGGCCATACGTACTATAACACCGTAACAATAACTAGTAACAACATAACTGCAGTGATTGTGATATTAGTTAATTCCCAGTTATTGAAAAACAAGTAACCAGTTGAAGCCCCAATCGGGCCTTTCCCTGGAAACCCAACTATCTTATAGGTGGAAATAACGGAAATGATATGATATGCTTGTAGCCAACTCTTGCAATTGTGCTACACCTTAAATGCCAATTAACGAGCGTTTAAGATTAGAATCACTCCATAGGAGTTGCTGAAATATTCATTATATCCCTGAGTGGGTACATCTATTGAGAACAGGACTGGTCGAAATATAACCTCAATCATGTAGCTTTTCGACTTTGCGGAACCTAGTGCGGCAACAATCCTGGACTCGCACAAACTTTGCAACTACATGTAACTATACACCTACAGTACCTACACCTCACAACACAACTGCATAACCCAACATCATAAACAAAAATGGAGGAGGATCCTCTCTGCGGCTTTGATTTCTCTGACGAAGAAGAGAACACCATCCAAAGGGACCGTCAAGCAAAGCTCAACCAAACCGAGGAGGCGTTTCAGGCAGAGAAACGGTTATGGCACCCAGTGTGTCAAATCAAGCAGGTATACCCCCCAAGGATACCTTTCTATTACCAAGGGTAAAAGCTCATTGAATTGTGCAAAAACTAGGCAGAGAGGAGACTAGAATTCTCCACATCACTCACAGACATACCATCCTCTAAAGAGGAGGCGCTTGAGATTAAAGCTGCGGCTGAGGAGCGTTATTACTTTCGAGACTTTGAGCGCTCATATGCGTTAGCTGGAAGAGCATTGCTTGTTGGTGATTTGATGCAGAGCGCCGACAAAAAGGATCTTGTGGTACTGCAACAGCGGTGTAAAGAGCGTTTGAAGAAATGATACAAGTTTAATTATATAAATGTAAAAGTCCTTTCATCTATGGTATAAAACAAAACAGAGCAATCTACTATGTACTTCATAACAAACCCTCCCATGTATCTCATCATATTTACATGAAGTATTACAAAAGTATACAAAGTACGATCTTTACATTTGTGATAGCTCCATATCTCTGCTCACCTCACCATCCCTCATCAGGAGCCTATCGATCTCATCTTCCGTCATCTTCCTATCTATTTTTTCTTCTTCCGGACCCTCCGTTATTTCTAGGGGACCGTTAACCACGAACGTTTGTTCCCCTAGATTCTCGGACTCCCCGTCTGGCATCATGCCTTTTGCAAGTTCGTCGGAATCAACAATGCTTTTCAATAGACGTAAAGTATGGCCGCTCGGCTTCACGTTGTGTTCATCCATCCTTCGCAAAACATCCCCTGCCCTTCGTATGCTCTGAACCCTCACGTATCCTGACAGCAGTGAAGTCCAAGTGACAACATTCGGCTGGATGCCTTTCCGCCGCATCGCGCCCAAAACCTGCTCCGCATGCTCGACCTTCCCATTCTTCGCCATTGCATGCATTAAAATTGACCAAGAATGAACATTTGGGTGAATAACAGAGTCGGGCTTCAGCATATCCTCCATGATCATCACAGCATACTGAAGAGTGCCCACATTTTGTCCAAGCGCAAACATGTAGGAGTTCGGTATATAGCAACCGGCTTTACGAATGGGTTCGCAATATTCACTTTCTTCGTTTCTGACAATACTGCGGTAGCGTTTGTAGGCTGCCCATACTGCCGACGAGTCTTTCTCATGAATAGTGAATGCATGGATCATTACGGCAATTGTCTTATGGTTTGGCTCAAGTCTGTCCTGGATGGCTTGTCGCCGTGGATTACCGAGTTCCGCAGGGGCAATCCCTAGGGGAATGAGAGGTCCCGGGTTGAAAAAGTTTAGGTATTCCTCCAGGACCGGAAAGTAATGTTCGGTAGCCTTGAGTTTAGCGTGTAGGATGTCTGTGGCAATGACACGGTTGAGTTTTCTATCCAACTGCATAGCATCCCGAATGACGTTTATCCGTTCTTGCTCCTGGTTTCTATTCTTATAGAAATTGTGAAGAAGTCCAAATGTAACCATTGATGGTCTTAAACCGCTATCGAACATCTGTCGAAATATTCCAGTTAAGCTGTTATCGTCATTATCGCGAACAGCCTTGCTCATGAGTATGTTGTAGGATGTTGTTCCAGGCCCAATTCCGCACTGGAGCATCATCCGGATAACCTTGCTGCTCTCTTCCTCGCCAATGAAGGTCGCTTTATAGAACATCGTCTGAAATCCCTTCCACACCTGCGGGAAGTTCAGATTCCTTTTGGGATCCCCCGTAAGCTTTTCGAGGATTGAATAGGCTCTAGACCACTTCTCAGGTTCCGATAATCGATGAATGAAGTGTAAAATAGTATCGGTGGTGAGAATCACCCTGGACTTTTCGACAACATCATAAAGCCGTTCAACTCCCTCCAAGGATGCACCCTGAATAAGCCTATATATCGTCGACTGCCGTAGACTGAGGGCACCCCCATAGTCTACCTGTAGCATTTGCATGAGCAGCTCGATGTATCTCGAAGCCCTTTTCTCAGTCCTTTCCCTCGGTGGTGGTAACCACCGTCTATTTCCCTTCTGAACCCGAAATTCCATCGCAACCAGATACTCCATCACCAATGAAATATCTTCCGGATTTGGTACATGTGTATCATGGATACAACATTCTATTAGTCTCATGCAGATCTTAGGGCATTTTTCTTGGAGGAGATATCCAGCAACGCTTATCAAAACGCCATGACGACGTTCTTTCGGATCTAATTTTGCCCAACCTTTTGCCATTGCTTTAGAACTGTGCCCTTCAGATAAAATCAAGGGAATAAGTCTGCGAAGCCTATCCTCAGAGTATTCCCGAACCAAGCAAGATACTCCACGCATTGCGAATCCATCGTCCATATCTTCCCTCAAGACCTTATCTGCCACCGACTCCACTGGACTCGTGTGTGCTTGACGCCGTGCGGCCACTGCATCCGAGCTGCGTTTTCTTGGCGACTTCCTTGTTAACTGCTCCCGAGAAGGCTCTTGAGAAGGCGCAGCAGTTACTCGGTGCTTCCTCGGAGCGACTGGCTTTTTCGGGATGACCGGCTTCCTTAAGGGTATTCGGGGAGTGTATGTAACTCGGCGTGGTGGTGGTCTTGGGGGTGAGGTTGATTTAAGTTCTTGTAATGGTCGCAGATCTAGTTTTGTTGAGGCTTTTATCTAACCCATTAGTCTCTCTCTTCCCAGGTTTCTTGAATTTAATTGAATCGCCCCCACTCCTTGAATTAACATTGGGAGATATATTCACCTTGACCCAAAACTCTCCTGATATGAATCCCCGCCCCCGCCCCCACCACTGTTATCGAATTCCAAGGCAACCTCGGCGCAAAGGACGGTACGGTTGGATATGACCGTCGGGTCGACAATGAGAGAAGGCCCAACGACATTGACGCATTGTTCGATAGGAGAAGAGGCGTCTTCATGCAGTTATTTCATCCGTTTCGCCGTGAGGGTTTTTCTCTTTCTGCTTCTCAATGTGGGAAACTTTCAATGTTACCCGGTTTTCGAGTGACTTGGCGTGTGTGAGCCTCACCTCGCGCTCTCAAGGGTCCTAGAGCTTCTAAACCTCAAAGCTTTCACCTCAATACCACAAATTCCCGCCAAAAATACGAACATAAGCTAGAACCAATTGTGATGTCGTCAATAGCTTCACTCGATGCTGCAGCTGCAGCGCGCAAAGAACGTCTTGCAAAACTCAATTCGTTAAAACGCAAACAAACCGCCTCTACCGATACAGATACAGAAATTCCTGATGCTCCCGCATTAGAGGCGCTCTCAAAATCATCCTCGCCCTCGGGGGAAAAAGCTACCTCTCACCTTCTCTCTGGGCGCAATTATGACATAGAATCACGTGCGCCAAAGATGGGATTTGCACAAGCCCCAACGGAAGGTGTCGACACTCTAGAGGACCTTGCAGAAGCAATTGTTACCAAAACTAAGGAGCAACAGCTGGCGGACGAAAAAAATGATAAAGCGATCGACCTTTTTAGCCTACAACCCAAGAAACCGAATTGGGATTTAAAGCGAGATGTTGACAAGAAGCTGGAAAAGCTGGATATGAAAACGGATGTGGCCATCGCAAAGATTATCCGGGCAAGGATTGAAGAGGCCAAGAAGAAGGTCGAAAACAAAGAACACGGAGATGAGATGGATGGAGTGGAGGGGAACTTAGGGGCGATGGTTATGGAGAGGGAGAGGGAAGCCGAAAAGGAAAGGGAAACTGCGGAGGGGGACAGTGATAGTGAGGAACTATGACCAGGAACGTAATAATCGGAGGGGAAATTGAAAATTAATAACATGTTTTTCATATTTTGTACCTTTCTCTTTCTTTTATGCATGTAAAATTACAGTGACGATTCCAGATGGGCAAGGGGCATAACCGGTATAATGTACAATAATGTGTGTTGCGCTAAAACGCGTAATTGAAGCTAGCTGAAAGAATAACAGCAGCGGCCAGTTCATAAAAATATAAAAACAGTGCCCAAGATGAATAAGAGATACTTCAAATAATAATAATAATGAGGTGTAAAGGGAAGTTTTTCTTGCTAAAGCCATTGTTTAAGGCTTATCTATCCTGGCCCTCTCCGCATCTGTTCTGTAAGAAGTTTTCTCCTCGTGAATGGACTCAAGCTTCTCTCCCTAGGCGGACTTGATCTCTTCACTATGGGTCCACCATTTCCCTTTCTCGCCGGCGAAACAGACATATTTTCGACTGGCGAGAATGACCTTCGTCTTGCTCGTCTCGGGGAGGGGCTCCTTGTCTTTTTCTTGGAGAAATCGGTTGGACTCATTTTACGGCCTCTCCGACCGGGGGATGGTGAATCGCGGTATTTCCGGCGAACAGATCGTTCATGATGATCTCGGGCGTGCGAATTACTACGACGGCGGGTTTGGGGGGGATTATGGGTTACTGCGCGGTCTTGTGAGTAGTTTGGTGGTGTAGGGGAGCGGCCCGAAGAGATGCTGGAGTACGAGGATGTTGACCCTGTTGAAATCGAACGGGTACGTGATGCAGCGCCAGGCGATGGACTATGTTGAAGAGTTTAGAGATGGTCATGGTACAAGATTAAGGAGTCACCAACCTTTCTCGCCGCCTTTTGCGGCCGCGGTCACTTCGGTCTAGTGCACGGTCCCTCTCCCTTTCTTTTTGTTTCGATTTCAATATTTCGTCTGCGGTCCCCTTCTTCTTGAGTATGACTGCATCCGAAGGGGGAGTCGACTCTGTAAGAGCTGGGCGTAGGGAGGGATTCAGTAGTTGCTGAGTCCGCGAAGGGCGAGAGACGTATGGGCGTTCACTAGCAGCAGCTTTGCATTCAAAACTATAATGACCTAGATGGTTATCAATTTGATCAGCAAATAGTCTGGCGTGAAGGGATGACAGAGAGGAGAGCTGTGTTGTCAAATACCAAGCTTAAGGCATTTCTGGCACTTTGTTGAAGTAGAAGCACGAGACGACGAGGCAGAAGGGGCAAAAGGGCCCCTAGAGCGATACATTGCTGGAAAGAAGGAAGAAATTTGTGGAGGACGGGGAGTGATTGAAGAATAGAAGAGAAAGGCGATGAAGGAAGGGATGTTGTTGACAGTGAAACGATATATGTGTACCAATATAGGAGAGAATTAAGTCTTAGAGGAGTGCTAGTGTAAGTAATTGAAGGAATATCTTTAACCCTCTCTTAGCAGAATAATCCAAGGCGAATTTGTGTATGGAAGATATTCTGGGGTGCAGGTGTATGTGTGTCAGTGACTACATGTATGTGACTACATGACGATACCTTGTAGGTCATACATTATTCCGTTTTGTAGGTACTCTCCACCAGGGCCGTTCAACAGGCCAAAAAAAAAAAATTGGGAATAAGATGTAGGTATATGTAGGTCTCGGATTACTTTCATTACCTACGCACATACATGTATGCTAAGCATACAAAAAACTCGTAAATCGGGCTTTCTTTCGTTTTGCCTTAACTGCCAAAACGGGAGTGCACAAATGCACCGTTCGATCCTCATTGGCTGACTAATCAGATCTATGTATCAGATCTCTAAAGAGCCTATCGCGGCGGTTGCCAAGCACTAAATCACTTTGGGCAACAAGAAAGTTTGGCGGCCAGGCAACACTGAAGTCTTTTCTCTCACTCTTCCTGCTCCCCACCCCCACCCAGGTCCACAATCTCATTCTTCTATTTTACTCGAAGGAGGTCTTTCCTATCTTCCTTACAGTAGTTATATTAAAATAAAAGAATTCCCCTCGGATCTTTACTACATGTTCTCCCTTTCTCTTTGCACTTAAAACCTGGCCTTCCTCCCAGGCTTCATCGCCTTCCTCCTTCATCTGGACCTCTCCCCCCTGTTGCTGCTACACCCCACTTTGCTTCGACCTTTCGCAAATGTGTTCGTTGGAGCATGTCTCGGGAGCATCGCAATTTCCAACAACTTCTTTTTGAGCTTTCTTGGTTTAGTTCTCGTCTTTTGTCCAGCTGTATAGCTTTTGGCGGACATGTCTAGTTCATCACCCGTTCCTGTTCTTTCAGCTTCTTCAACTGCTACTACGGCTCCAATCACCGCAACCACAACCACCATCACCACCACCACCACCACCGCCGACGCCTCAACAAAAACCACAACAGCAACTATTGCAGTTGATATCCCCGTCAACCCTTCTGACAGTGGTCTTGAGGTAATCTCTCATTTGCACCACGCTGGCCTCCTAAATTTGTGCTAACATTGTTTTCTCATTTACAGCTTATGGATGCGAAAGAATCCCAGGCGGATTCTCCCATACCAGTGAACGCCAGCGCCGAAATCGCTCATGACAGTAATAAAAACAGCCTTGTTACCTCCACAATCTCACACGATGTCTACCCTATTTCAACCCCACTTGAACAAGGCGCACAGCAGCCTCGCTCTTGCCCCCAAGATATTTCCTTAATTCAAGAATCTCTGGGAGGTCTCAATTTAGGAACTAGTCATGCTACCGTAAGCGGAGAACCATCTCCTCATAACGGTACCTCGGATCTGTGCCAGCCCACTGGAAATACTTCGGTGGCCACACAGGGAAACCCTGCTGAATCAGCTACTGTGGGTATACCTGCTTCCGAGATACCCCCAAAAGTATGCCTTTGTTGCTTACAAGCTCCCAGTCACAAAATATAGCTTCCAGTCAGCCAGAAGGCCATGTTCCAGGACTTGTGTCCCGCGACAGTGAACATAGCTCTGTCACATCCGACTGTGCAGACTCCTCCCCAGTGATAGTCGTGTCGTCGCAGTCCCAATCTCCCGAGCCTTTCGCCGACCAGCTCAAGCCCGTAGTTCCAATGCTTATTGATGAACCCGATGAGCGCCTCTTAAACGCTTTGGAAACCCCCCGTGATCGCTTGTTTGTGATAAGACTGGAACACGATGTCATTAATTTCATCCAAGACAATATGTACGTTCAGCTTGGTCATATGTGGAAAGATTAAACCTAATCAAATGCAGCTGCGATGTTTTTGACCTGCCTCCCATCAATGCTTATCAACGTCTGCTCGCCCATAAAATGGCTGAATATTACAGACTTACCCACATTGCGGATGCCACCGGCGCTAGTGTCAGATTTTACAGAGGTCAACACGCCAGAATGTATGGGCTCCAATCAAACAGACATTTGAGGAACTTTTATTTACTTAGATTTTTTTTTAGCCCTCCTGTAAGATTAGGAGACAAACCAACTGCGGCTCTTCAGCTTAATTCTGCAGCTAATGGATCTGCTGCCCCTATGAAAATTATGCGGCGAACACGTTCCGAAAAGGGGTCTGATACACCTCCCGAGCATCGGAACTCAAATACACCGAAAAAACCATCTTCTGAAACATCCTCTGGAGATGGTTCGGCACGAACAGGTAGCAGAGAGGAGAGAGAGGAAGCCTACAGGGCCGCTCGGGAACGCATCTTCAAAGACTTTGTTGTATCGCCCCCTGAGACGCCTCCGCCCACTAAGCAGAACGATAAGCAGAGAAGACAAGAACAGCCTGATGATTTTTCTGGCCGCTCTCAGTTCTTTCCTATATTGTCACCTTCGGTTCCTGCGGTCAATCCAAATTATTACCCTCAATATGAGAACCCGGGATTACAGTTCCAAAACTCGCACATGCCTTTACAGCCGCGCTTCAATCCAAATACCCCTAGTTTCAATCCGAATATGCCAAATTTCAACCCTCCCAATAATAATTTCACCCCGCAGCCTTATATTCCAGTGACGCCCCACCGTCAATTTCAAACGCCAAATGACAGGTTCAACGCACAAAATCCAGTAAATATGGGACATCTTGGATACCCTCAGCAACAGCCCCAGCCACACCCCCAGCCACAACAGCAGCAGCCTCAAAACCATCACCACCAGCAGCAGCAACAGCAGCAATTGCAGCTGCAGCTGCAGCTGCAATCGCAATCACAGCAACAACAACAGCATCAGCATCCGCACCAACAGCAGCATCGTAATAATTTCTTTGAGCAGCCAAATCACTTCAATTCCTCAGGCCCTCCCCCCCAACAACAACATAACGTAATGGCGAATCCTCCGTTCACTAATCCTCCCCGCTTTGTACCACAACAGTCATCCCACAACTCTCACCACCACACGCCTCCTGTCCCTGCATCTGGGAATAGGCACCCTTACAATGCCCCCTCTAACTATGCTGTCAACAACAATAATATAGCGCAGCACCGCTTTCCACAACCGGGGCTTGGCTGGAACCCTCCCGCTGTTGGAGGGGTCCCAATGAACGTGACAAGATCTCAGCCAGGCATGCAAAGTTTTGATAGGAACGCCCCATCATTCGGAGGGTTGCCATACCAGGCACATCAACCACAACAACAACAACCGTGGGGAGGTGGGGGTGCTTCATTTGGGAGAGGTGGGTACGGAGGAGGTGGGGGGGTGCATGGGCCTGTTGGCGGCATGTAGTGCTAGGATGATGTTCTTGTTTGGAGTTTCAAATTGTAACCTGTATAGATCGCATTAGGCGGCTGGGTGTGGCTAGCGATACACCACTAAAGCCTATCTCTTAGTACAGTGCTGACTGTGGCTTATTTTTCATCAGTATTTTATACTTGGGCAGTTAGATGGGTCTTATGAAATCGTTGACGAGAACGAAGAGGGCCGGGGAAGAAAAAGTCTTATTAGATGCGGACTGGATCTAATTTCGTTTTGTTTGCTGCTTCTTTTTTCTCTTTTCCTTTTTGTCTTGTCTTAATGTTTACGCTCACTTTTTGTTTTGGTTTTTGCTTGCTATGCGTCTGTGGGAGGTATTTTGTATCCTTTTTTTCTTTCTTTTTCTTGCTTTCGTTCGTATGGATTCTGGTGTCTCTAAATTTGGGATGGGTTTATGGGCTGCTGCTGCACGAAATGAAAAGCTGCGTTAGCTGAATATTTTGTTGGATACAAAAAAAAAAGTGTACGAGGCCGTAACAAACTATATAAAGTAGAGTAATTATCCCCAATATCCAGAACACTAACAGTACAGCGAGAGGTAGAAATATGGGAGGAGTCCTATTGGCTTTCCCATAGAAACCCTGTTTTTAGGCCTCTGTTTCTACCTCTCGCTGTATGTGGCGGATCATGGGCTATCACTCGCCTTGAAGGAGTCGATCACAGGACATCACTCGACTCGGCACGAGGAAGAAAAAGACGGACATGATTGATGATAACCCATCTAGATGTGAGTCTGGTTCTATGTATAATATAGCTCCCTGAGAGGTACGCTCGGATAGTCGCTAGCAGGATAAGTCGCTCTTATCAAAAGATAAGCCCTACAAGACCGTGCAAGCAGGCCTCAAACTCCGGAGAGGAGATATGCGCGGACTCAAACCACGGTGGTGGAAGTGGGGTGGTGTTACCAGGCAGAACTGGATATGGATACTATGGTGAGTACTTTAGTAAACCACATACATGTATTTGTAAGGGATACCTAGGTACGAGACGAGGATACGTGTGTGTGCTGTGCCACATCTGATAGCTTTGCCCCTTGAGAGCGCGCGGGTAGTGTTCTTTTTTGGCGCTTGTATTCTGTGTAGCACGCTTATGGGCCGTGGCATTTGGAGCGGGTGGTGGGAAGTGTTTATGGCTCATTAAATATACAGAGCAGAGCCAGGTGATTCCTAGCCATTACCGACGCTCGAGTACTTCCCTGGATGGGTTGGACGACGTAGAGTCGGTATATCTGCAATAGGGTCTATACGTAATACATGTAGCTGGATATCTAACCCCATGCTGGCAGTGGTGGTGGCTTTGTGGCATCATGGGGGATCACTCGTTGGTTTACTTATTTCCAATGTCCATCGAACACAAGAGAACGGGACTGAACAATCATACCACCAAAACACAAATACTATAGCCTAAATCATAAAAGTACAATCTATATGTACAACACCAAGGTCCACCAACGATCTGATAACCTACAGAAGGGCGGAGAACAGAAAGGAAAAAAGAAAAAGAAAAAAGAAAAAAGAAAAGAGGAGAAACCACATGCGCATCTAGCTATAGCCAAGTAATAGTAATTTATCTATATATCATGGTATCTTACTCCCCCCACCTTCCTCACTTCAGCTCCCTCCCCCACTCCCCCACCTCCACCATCGCCCTCTCCCCCCCTCCTCCAACTCCGCCTTCCCCAGCACCCCCGCCAAACTCCTCCACCCGCTCCTCGCGCCCCCCCACCTCAGCACCTCCTCCTTATACCGCTCGCCCGAGTCCCTCCGTAGCGGGTCCTGCTCAAACACGTCCTTCCATATCTTGGCCGCAATCGCCCGGTCAAACAGATACGCATAATACGTCGCCCCATACCCAAACAGGTGCCCGAAGAACCCCTGCCACGACGTCCCCCGCGCCGCTGGCAGCAGCCCGTACCGCCCCTCAACCTCGTGGTACACGGCCGTGGAGTCGAACCCGCGCTGCAGCGGCAGCCCCGAATGATACCGCTGGTCCAGCAGCGAGAGCAATATCTGCGTGCGCGTCTCCATCGCCTGCATCAGCTCCTCCTGCTGCAACCGCTCCGCAACCAGCTGCATCGGCAGCGGCTCGTCCGTCTGGTGGTGTCTTGCAAACAAGCCCAGCACCTCGGGGGCCCGTGCAAAGTGCTCCATGAGCACGCTTGGCAGCTCGGCCCAGTCCGTTGCGCAGCGCGTGCCCGCGACGTTGTGCAGCGCCGTGCGGCCGAGCATGGAGTGCAGGGCGTGGCCCATCTCGTGGAAGAGCGTCTGCACCTCGCGGAAGTTGAGGAGCGCCGGGTTCCCGCGCGCAAAGTCGCAGATGAGCGCGATGGTGGGGAGCTGGTAGAGGGTGCCGTCGGGACGGCGGACGGAGGCCATGCCGTCGTCTTCGCGCGCGCCCTCGAGCGCCTCGGCGAGGTACTCCTCGTCGCTGATCTGGCGCGAGCAGCGCAGGGTGAAATGCGCGGGGTTGGGGTTCTTGCCGGCGCGCTCAAAGAGGTCGCAGTAGACGACGGCGATGTGGCCGTCGGTCTCATCGATCACGTCGAGGCGGCGGACGTCGTCGTTCCAGGTTTCGCCTGGGAGGGTCTCGCGCGGGACGAGGCGGACGCCGTAGAGGCGGTTGAAGAGGCGGGAGAGGCCCTGCATGACGGTGCCGAGGGAGAAGTAGGATGAGAGGATGTCGGAGCCGCGGCGGCGGGAGCGGATGGCGTGCATCATTCGGGCGGTGTAGAGGTCTTTGTCCCAGGGTTGGAGGGGTAATGATTGGCCGGACTGTTTTTTAAGGAGTGCCAGACCGTCGAGTTCTGACTGGGCGGCGGGGCGGTTGGCGTCTGCGAGGGCGTTGAGGAATTTGGTTACGGCTTCTGTAGACTAATGTTAAATTGGGATTTAAGTATAGGGCGGGGTGAAGAATATCACGGACCTGGAGAGGACGCCATCTTGTCTGTCAATGCGACCTCTGCATAGGTCTCACGCCCTACTAAGACCGCAAGTTCTGCTCTTCGCTTTAATAGCTCCTCCAAAACACCTATCTGCCGGGCGCTACTCGTATGGCCAGCTATATATATCTCCTTCCTCACCTCTTCATCCTCTACTGATCGTATGGCATGGTTCGCCGCCATCCCAATCGTAGGAATCGTCACCTTCCCCCGCTTCGTGAGCTCCCTCACAACCATAGGATCCATCCCCCTCAACCGCGCCGAGTCAAACGTCAGAAAATGCGTCTCCGGCGCCATCTCATTGATAAACTGCGGGCCCAGCTCCGCAATCTCGTTGGACAGCTCGACGAACTTCCGCCTGGCCCCGGCCGGAAGATTGATGCCACTCTTCTCAAAGTCCTTGTACAGGATCGTCGCAACCGCCCGCTCCTCGTCCGAGAACTTTGCCACAACCTCTGGGTTGTCCAGCGCCCGCTTCAGGGCGTCGTAGAGACCCGTGGTGGTGTTGAGGACATTCATGTACTCGTACATGACGGTGTAGGCTTCGTGCGCCGCCACGACGATCTTGCGGTCTGGGTGCGTCGCCCGCACAAAGTCGGACATGTCGATGACTCGGCACAGCAGATCGCTCAGACGGTCGAGGTCCCGCACGACGCGGACAAGCTCGTCGGGCGTGTAGGCATTGAGGATCTTGTCGACTTGCCGCTTGGCCTTCTGGAGGGTGCGGTCGGCGTAGTCTTTGAAGCCGGCGGCGGAGGTGAGGTCTTTGTTCTGGAAGAGGCCGGTGTGCTGGGCTGTGGGGTTGTGGGATTTGGCGGAGAAGTCGCGCCAGATGGAGGGGTTGTCGCTGGAGGGTTTATGACTATTTTAGCTGGTGCACTTTTCTGGTTTTTTTTATTTAAAAGAAGAGGAAAAAACAGGAGAAAAAGAGAAAGAAGAATTGTATATTTAAATTTTATAGGATACATGACATGTGGTAAACTAGGCAAGGCAAGATAGAGCAGATGTGTAGATATCCGGGTACTTTTTTTTTCTTCTCTAAAAAAAAAAAAGGAAAACTGAAGGGGTGAAATTTACAAGATGTCCCTCAAGGTCTTGTCCTCCCAGCCCGCACCCGGAGCGGAATGCAGGGCGGGGTTGAAGGCAGCAGCAGCAGCAGCTCCAAGCTTCGGGGACTCGACGGCGGCGGCCGCAAGATGTCTTTTCTGCAGCAGCAACAGGAGCTGCTGCTGCTGCTTGCGCCAGCAGCGGGTGCAGAGCGTTGACCACGCGGAATGGGGGACCACTCTGTACATTGTGAACTGAGGGACGAGACAGAGGGGGGTTCAATTGGGTCCTGCTGTGTGGTGGGGCGGGAGAGAGAGAGCAAGAGGTTGAGAGATGCAAGGTGCGAGATGGGATAGAATCAGGCAGTGGAGGGAGAGATGTTATCAGATTGATTGATTTTATCTGATGGTGGGGGAGGGGAGAGAGGGAGCGAGGGACATGTGAGCACGCCACTCACGTGAGAGGAGAGGGATGCTTCTGCCCTGGGATTAGTAAGAGGAGAGGGCCTGGAGAGGGCCATTGACGGGGGAAGTGGGGGGAGAGAGGGGGGGAGAGGGGGGAGAGAGAGAGAGAGAGAGGGAGGGAGAGGGAGAGGGAGAGGGAGAGGGAGAGGGAGAGGGAGAGGGAGAGGGAAAGGGAAAGGGAAAGGGAAAGAGAGAGGAAGGGAAGGGAAGGGAAGGGAAGGGAAGAAGTGATGGAGAGAATGGGAGAGAATGGTGGAACTCGAGAGAGAAACATGGGAGAGCACTCGAGCTGTCTGCAAGCCATCTCTCATCCCACGGCCCCTCAATGCAAACCTTCCCTTCCCTCGCCTCGCAGCGCCACACCCAGCCAGCCCTTCCCTGCATAGCCGCTCTCTCTCCATCCAGCTAAGCGCCACTCACGTGACGGCTGTACCTCAAGCTTCTCTTCTCTTCTTCTTCGCTGTGTCGAGTCTTCCCTTTTCCTCCATCATCGTTCACGACATCATCGCACATCAACACCGTAAACAACAACCAAGGATCCAGAGGCCCTACAAAACACAGCAAATACCTTCGCTCTCTTCAGCTCTCACCCATATTCCGCTCATTCACTCGTTCACACTCTCCCCCCCCCCCCAGTCACTCCTTTTCAGCAACACCTCTCACACAGTTGACACTGCACGTGCCCACCCCCAATGACCATGGAGCCCACCGACACCGCCATGACCGAAGCTCCCACCTTCGCCCCTCCCCCCCCAAGAAGCGCAAGTTCATCCGCCGCCGGCCTGACGATGACGACAACGACCAAACCACACCCGACGCCGCCGACGCCGCCCCCACCGCCCCCACCGCCCCCACCGCCCCCACCGCCCCCAACACACAAACCACCACCACACCACCACCACCACCCACCGAAAGCGCCGTGCCCCCCTCCCCCCCAACAGACCCTGAGACCCCAGACCTCTCCACGATCCTCCGCCTCCGCAAGAAGCTCACGCGCCCCACCCGCCGCGGGCTCGAGGTCACCGCGCCCAAGCCCACCACGACGACGACGACGTCGCAGGCAACGGCCACAGCCGCACCGCACCGCCCGCTGGACGACGACGCCGCCGCAGCATCAAAGGCCGCCGAGGAGGAGGAGGAGGAGCTCCAGGCCGTCGTCAACAGGTTCACGCACCAGACGGGCCAGATCCTCGACGTCGACAAGCACATGATGGCCTACATTGACAGCGAGATGCAGCGGCGCCGCGGCATCGGCACGTCTGGGGGCGCGGGGGGCAGCGGTGGTGGCGGCGGCGACAGCGGGAGTAGCGCCCCCGCGGGCGGGGAGAGCGCGAGTAGGTCGGCGTACTGGACGCCCGTGGTGCCGGAGGGCCGCGGAGCGACACTGGGGAAGCTGCATGAGGTTGATCTGGGGGAGGAGACGAAGAAGCGGAATATTGCGCGGACGCAGGAGGCGACAAGGCGGCTGCAGGGGGATGGGACGGCGGCGGCGGGGGCGGCGGAGGAGGAGGAGGCCGGCAGCGGGGGTAAGAAGAAGATGAAGGGGCGGAGAAGACGCAATAGTCAGGATATCCAGAGGGATAAGCTGGTGGAGGAGGTTCTCAAGGAGAGTCGATGTATGTTTATTACATTCGCTGCATATATATACAGGAAGACTAACTAGCGGCAGTGGAAATGTACACCGAGCCCGACCCGTCCGAGGAGCAGCGCGAGACAGAAGGCGCCGCAGACGACCGCATCGCGGAAAAGTTCCGCCGCGAGTTCCTAGACGCGCTCATGTCACGGCGCCGCCGCAGAGGCGGCGACAGCCGCAAGAAGAGGGACGAGACGAAGAAGCCGCGGGGGCCGAAGCTGGGAGGGAGCAGACAGGCGCGCGCGGCGATGCGGGAGAGCCAGAATCAGGCTACGGTCGTGGCGAAAAAACGATAGAGAGGGTGGTTGTATTTTTGCGTGGTTGGCTGGGCTGGTTGGCTGGTTGGATGGGGTTTGTCTTTTTTTATTTCTTTCCAATTGTATGTGATAAGTAAATAGCCTTTTCCTTCTTTTCCTTCTTTTTCTTTTCCTTTCCTTTCTCTTTTTCTCTTTTTCTCTTTTCTTTTACGCTTCTCTTTTTTTAAAAACAGGAATAAGGACTTGTAAATTTTTTCGTTGCATGCAGGCGGGCGGGCGGGCGGGGGCAGTAGTTAGAATGGGATGATGGTTGAGCTCAGGCTCGGTTTGCGGGTGAATATATCATTGACATGGTTATAGACTTTTGGTTTCCCCGTCCGAAGGCCGTTACGTATACAATCCGTCCTAACCCGCATATATGGCTACATGTGATCGAGGTATACTAAGAAACTGCATCTTTGAAATATTCAATAACAATGACACTTGGGAATTCTAATTCACAGCGAGTCAGACCAGGGTGATCAATAAACATGTACTCTGCCCCGGATCCAAACGCACCCTGGGAGCTCTTGGTCCTCGCTAGAGTACATAGCTGCGCTATCTGCATGTAGTAATGATAAGAACACATGTCGATAGCAATAACGATAAGAATATCCCTGGCCCCCCCACAAAGGTGCTCATCCAGGGTTGACGGAAGCGAGTGATCCTTCATGACGTACTAACTACGAGGAACGGAATAAGGGGGTCCAATCCAATCATAGCCGGTGAAGAACCAATGTGATGTCTGATGGCACCTGGGCTAGGCATGTGTGGCGCTTCTGCTATCTATATATTTCTGGGGATTTTGTTGAGGATAGGGAAGGACGCGAGGGGCGGAATCGCTCTCTGCCATGGCTACTCCAAATTCAGTATAGACAACACCCCCAAAGTCCTAGTGATAGCCCTCCCCTCGTCCCATATATATATCCAGCTGATGGGCGGTCCATGGCCAAGATGCAAGTACTGGACAACCCTAAACCTGCGGTGTATAAAACGAGCACGCTTCTTATTTCACTCGACGGATGTATGATATGTCTATCGATAGAGGGAGCTGGAAATCAACCCCATTTTCTTTTAAGGTTTCCTCCCCACGTGGTTCGGCTCGCTTGTTCTTAGCGAGTGCTTATTGCCGCCGAGTGATGCGCTGTGATTGCATCTGGGGTGCATATATCGGAGTGCACGCTATCGGGGTGTAGGTACGAAAATGGTCTGGTGGATAGGGGAAGAGGAGGAGGATGAGGGGGCCCTGGTGGCTTGGAGCTACTGCGGGATCCTCGGTATCGATATATCCAAGGGCCCTTCCCGGGTAGTCTGTTACCTGGCTATGCCTACTTAGCTATATGCATGTTTGTAGACTTGACTGAGAAAGGGTCGACTCGATGGATATATGGCTTTAGGATGACATCTCCAATTGTTTTTCAAATGACTTTGAAGTGTTATGGTGAGATACGGAGGAAGAAGAAGAACCGGTCGGTTGACCTGCGGTGTCAATAGGACAATGCCAAGAGGGCTGGGGGGATTGTCCGGAGAGCTATCTAGCAAGAGATAGCTAGATAGAGCAGTCAATGCTGACTTCAACCCTCAGAATAGGTCCTATTATTATCGATCACTCGTGGGCTGGGTATGTAAATCTCCGATTCTCACGATGTCCCTCTCTCATTCACACACTCTCTTTCCCTGTGTGTTGCCCCGGGGAAATTGCACCCTCTCATCATGCGGTAATATTGGTAACGGCAGCTGTAGTATGTACAAAGGAGAACGGGACACATTGGGTTTTTAGGCGGCGGTGCTTTTCTCTTAGACACGGTTTCAAATAATAAGACAGCTGCAGCTTCTTCTTCTTCTTCTTCTTCTTCTTCTTCTTCCATCTACTAACACTACTTCTGCTGCTGCTGCTGCTCTTCTTCTTCATCTTCGTCCTGTTCTTCCTCTTGTCCCCCTTGTTCAATTCTGGGAGGTTGCATTACAGACAGCCAGTCCGTCCATCACATCCATCGACTGCTCCTGCATCTCATTCGGCCGCTCTCAGTCTTCATCGTATTTAATTAGGGTTGTCCTCTCACCTCCCTGCAACAGGGTCTCTTCGTTTCTCTCACTTCCTCGCCACCACTCACTTGCACCCCCCCCCCCCCCCCCAAACCCCCCCTACAACAATACTTACATTAGACCCTATTATCCATACACCCGGATATCTGCTTATCGCTCGTTCCCTCTCTCCTGCATTGTCACGACCCAACAACATCCAGACCAACGCTCTCACCACACCCAACCAAGTCAAGTGCTCCTCTCCCATAATCTGTATCAGTGACACGGTCCCCATACCACTCACTCCAATAACCTTTCATCCAACCTTTCCTCACGCGCCTAACCACCACCACAAACCAACCATGGGCCGACCAATCTGGCGCGAACCTACCGAAAAGCGCACGGCCGATGCTGCCCTTGAACCTCGTCGCGAAGCCGTCGTCCGTCGCTCTGCCGGCATTCGCCCTCGAGTCCGCGGCTCAGACCGCTCCTCGGGTACCCTATTCAATCTCCTACGTAGCGATTACGCCCTCGAAAACCTAAATACGGGTCCCGCCAGATGGAGCGACAACGCGAGCTTACTCGCGGCTCAGCGTGGCGGCAGAAGAGGCCTTGGCAGGTCTGAGACGCTGCGCCCTCAGCTGAATCGCTCAGTGGCGACTGGCGAGGAGGTCTACACGCCGTGGTTCCCGCCCGCTGGTGATCGTGAGCTGGCAATGCAGCGCAGGGAAGAGATGGAGCGCATAAGAGAGGATAACGAGAGACGTAGGCTGTTGGAAAGGCTGGATAGGGAGCGCGAGCGGGAGCACGAGAGGGTGGCGCGCCTGACCGAGGAATTTATACCGGATGATATGTCGTGGTTCGGGCTTCCACTGTCGGCGCGTCAGAGATACGTCGCCAGCCTCATTGACGAAGGCCGCCGACCCGAGCCCTCATCAAACGCGACCCGCGAGATTCACTTGCCGCGCTTCGATATTGACGGCTTGGGTGATCGGGAGCGCTCTCTCAGGTCAATACCCTCACTCCCTACATATCTCACTGGGCTAATCGAAGGAGCGGGTGACAGTCCTGATGCAAATCAGTGGGAGCTCATGGCCGAACTCGGGTATCCAGGCTGTGAACAGGATAGCGAAGACAGCGAGGACGATGAGCACAACCTCATGGACGCTCTTGGGACCCTGGAAGGAGAGGTGGAGAGGGATAGGTCTGAGATGGATAGGTTGAGAAGAGTGGCCAACATGTTTGCAGCGCATAACAGGGACATTGACAGGCTGGTTGAAAGATTGTAAAAACTGTAATGAATCGGCGTTTACGATTTTCTTCATTTTTTCCCCCTTCAATTCTTTGGTGTGTTGTTATTGCCTTTTATCTTCTTTCCTTTTTTTCCCTCAATGATTGGAATGGCAATTGGGTTGTTTTTTCTCCCAAATGTTCTTTATACTCCTTAAGTTTATCTCTCCGTGGGATATATTATATATATATATATATGTATGTGTACATTTCTGTTTCTTTTTTCTTTGGGATATGGATACTATTTCAAGGCTCTGGAAGGCCGTTTATGTCTCATCTTATGTATCATGATTATCTGTGCTCAGACACGAGACATCACTCAAGACGACATAAATAAACTACAATCTAATCATCGGTACAGACTCTGAAGGGTCACTCGGAGAAGACAAGAAAAACAATACCCTCTATACAGGTATCTATTCGAGGCTACCACAATATCATCATATCTCTATCCAGTCTAACTATTGTATGTAGGCAGGTCCTTTGTTCTTACTACCTCCCCCCATCTATGCGTCCATCTATTCCGAATTTGCATATTCCAAATCCTCCACACTCCTAATCACCCTACTCGGCGTGCACATATTCTCTATGATGTAGTCCCCATTGACCAAATCGTTCTCATCCGCCCGCTTTGCTGCCGCCTCCTCCGTGTCCACCAGGCCAGCTGCTAGGTGCCTCGCAATCAAGCGCTTCCTCGCAATATCCCGATCAACAGATACAAACCACAGCTCATCGAAGAGCGCCGAGATCTCGCCCCAGATCTCGGTTTTGAGGGATAGATAGTTGCCTACACACAATTAACCCCACAGAAGAGGTAATAGAAACAGAACGGGATAGAAACCTTCGAAAACAAGTATTCTCTGTGTCGTTAGGATGGCAATATCATCCTCGACGGGGTCCTTCCTGGCGTGGTCGAAGCTGGGCGCAAAGATGGTCTTTGAGTCGGGCGTGATGGGCGCCTTGAGACGTAGCACGAGCTGCTTAAGAGCCACGGGATCGAAGGTGAAGGGCGCACCGCGGCGGGCGTGGGCCTCGAGCGGGTTGGGCATTGCGGAGAGGGCGGCGCGGGTCAGGTGGTAGCCGTCCTTTAAATACACAGAAAGCAATTGTTATCATCATTTGTACATTATAATATGGTGGTTTTTTTTTTTTTTTTTTTTTTTTTTATGTGTAGAAGTATTTGGGCTGCTCTCTAGATCCCAGACTGCAGGGCCTGATACTACTACTACTGCTACCTACTACTATCATCATGATTACTACTGATGGTGCGTGCGTGCGTGCGTACCATGGGGATCATTGCCGCGACGTTTGGGTCAAGGGCGTTGAGGCGGTTGACGACCTTTCCGGCGAGCGTGGTCTTGCCGCTGCCGGGGGTGCCGGAGACGCTGATTAGGACGCGGGAGGCTGGGGGTGCGGCGGCGAGGAGCTCTGGGAGAAGGGGGGTTTTTATTTTATGTCATTGATGCATTTGGTGTTTTTGGTTTGGTGGGTGGTGTTATATATACATGTACATACATGTATATATGCACATGTACTTATGTGTGTGTGTGTTTGTGATGGAGAAAAAAGATACACATACTGCTTGTTGCGTTCACGAGGTCATCAATTATGTTTTCCATCATTTTGATGCGTTTGTTGTAGTCGTAGTTATGGAGTGGAGTGGAGTGGAGAGGCTGGGTATTGTGCCGGTGGACGGTGTATGATGTGGGGCCTAGAGAGCTTGTTATTTAACTCCTGTGCTTTGGTGATGACGGTGGTGATGGTGGCGAGGATGATGGAAATCAATGTCCAGTGGGGTGTGGCTGGGGGGATGATACATACTAAATATTCAGAACTGTAGATGTGCAATTGTTTGACGATATCGATTGTTGAAACAACCCAGCAGAGTGGTAGCAGCAGTTCCCCTCCCCTCCCTTCCCCTCCCCTTGCCCCTCGCACCGTCCCCCTCCCGTCCCTCCCGCTCCCCCCCTCCGAGTACGTAGCAGGACATCATCAAACAGTAAATACCCGGCATCCCCTATCAACGTTATCGTGTTATGCACCAGGGGGGATAAAATGCCAGCCAAGACGGCTCCTTCCCGCTGCAGATCTACCGGTGCAACAACTGCAAGAGCACTCGACACCTACATACATAGTAGGTATATCTCAAGCCAGCCACTCATCCTCTCATCCATTCATTAATCTACATGTACTCGTACACTCAACACTCATACACTCATATGCAGTATCAGAAAACCACACATCAATACTAAACATTTTCCTCTCAGACCCCCCTCAAAAAAAAAAAAAAAAAATGATTGATCTTGGCTTGAAGAGAATCAGCGCACTCTTGCAAAACCAAGGTCGCTTCCCCTGGCAGGCTATTCACGTATGTGCATGCGCAACTTCAGGCAGATTTGTTTCGATAGTACCAGTACCCAGTACTAGTAGTAATAGTTGTTGCGATTGCTGCTGATAATCAATTTCGCAGGTTGCAGGAACGAATGGAAAAGCGAGTGATCTCTCAGGCAACAGAAATACTATTCTTCTCAGGCGGCGGCAGCTAAGTCATCTCTGTCCGAAATAGGGTTCCGTATGCGCCTACATTTCGTCTGTCCTCAATGCCGCTGGGATCCCTTGTGGCCGTTTCACATCCCCCCACCTAGTCGACCGCTGGGACTGCATCACGCTCAACGGGACCGCCGTCTCGAAATCAGTCTTCCTGGAAGTAGAGGCTGCGGTCAAGGAGAGAGACGCAAGCCTGGGAATCGGGGCCACCGAGTTCGAACTGCTCACAGCCACGGCCTTTGAGATATTCTCCAGGCAAAAGGTTGATATTGCCGTTGTAGAGGTTGGCATCGGCGGAAGGCTGGACGCAACAAATGTGTTTGAAGCGCCACTCGCGACCGTCATCACAAAGATTGCGCTGGACCATCAGGGCTTCTTGGGATCTACACTGGAAGAGATTGCGAAGGAGAAGGGGGGAATCATGAAGAAGGGGACCGCATGCGTGGTTGATGGGTCCAACACAGGGCAGGTGCTTTCCGTGCTACAACGCATTGCGTCCGAGGTGGGGGCAGGGGCCTACACCATCTCAAAGCTGGACGCGTTGGGCGATGGGTACGCTGAAATAATGACTCCGGCCTTTGGAACCCAGCGCTTTACGAGTTTTCTACAGGGAAACTACCAGCCCTCAAATCTTGCTTGTGCCGTGAACGCACTTTCTCACGCGGCGGAAAAGTTCCCAATTATCACCTCAGCGGCGCTCCAGGCAGGCATCAAGTCTACAACATGGCCTGGGAGAATGGAATGGGTTGACATTTCGTCCGTGGTTGGGAAGCGAACTTCAGTATTAGTGGATGGCGCCCATAACCCCGAAGCCGCAGACGCTCTGGCGGAGTATGTGAACAAAAAGCTCCCAGGCCCAGTGACATGGGTGCTCTCTGCGTCTAAAGGCAAAGAAGTTAGGATAATGTTGCAGAGGCTTCTTAGAGACGGTGATCATGTTGTTGCTGTTGCATTTGGGGCCGTAGACGGAATGCCGTGGGTTTCACCCGTCGACCCACAGGAGATCGTGAATGAGGCAGTATATGCTTTGGGAAGCGGCGAGAGTGTTACAAATTTTGGTCACGATATAAGCGCTGCGTTGAAGACGGCATGTAATGGTGGAAATGTGGTCGTTGCTGGTAGCTTGTCAGTATCTACTAAATTATCAAGCGGATAGAGTATATGCTGACGAATCCTCAGGTATTTGGCTGGAGAGGTTCACAAACTAACGAGGCTCAATTGAGCTGGGATTTATGTATCCGAGGGCATTGTAAAATATGATCGCCGCACTTAAAAAGGATGAACGATTGATTTTAATCGTGACTAGTGCAATATCCTGCCATCGTACAGCCTTGCGATATATATACATATGGGGTTTTCAGTAGACTTGCTCTTTAAATACACATGGTGCAAAATGACAGAGTTATTCTTAAAACCGTACCAATTAACTACATGTACTTCGGTATCAGGGGTAAGTGAGTAGAACGCGGCGGTTCATATTCGCGAGCAAAACAGGAAAACTACAGCTTTAGCCACGCTGCCACGTTCTACTCACTTACCCTTGATACCGAAGTACTATGTAGGTACATGTATGTATTCAAGTACCCCCACGAACTGTTGAAGCTAAAACAATGGCTGTAGGTTATGGCCAGTAGTGTATATGATCAATACATGTAGTTCATTCAACAGCTTGATCACACTTTTAATATTGGATCATAGCGAACTGTGTCATTTTACATCATCATCATTGTATGTTATTGTAGAGCACGTATACCTAAAACTGTCCTTTTCCGTAAATGTTAATAACGACCAAGATAAAATGACAGATACAGTATGAACGTAGACATGTAAGCAAGTAAGTACATGTAGCGCAAAGTCTCTAATACTACATGTACCTACATGGTTACGGTATTGATACAGCTTGATAAACTACATGTAGTATGGCATCAAAAGCCAACCACAATATTGGAAAATATGCTGTGTTGACCGTTTCCGTTTCTTGGCAGCAATCTAGAGTGTGATATTTTTTTCTCGTGGGCAATGAATAGGCCCTATAGTACTTGATCATTAGACCACTAGAGCAAAGCTCAGGCAGTGTGAGAAAGGTGGGTTTGGAGTAGGGCTTTCGAGCACTTGCAGAGTAGACGTGCAACAACAGAATATCCCTTCCTCCGTTTTAAATCATTGGGGCGTGGAGCAGTTAGGTAGGTTTTCTTGCAAATCCACGGTCGTCACCTACATGTAGTACCAGGAAAAGAGACGTGGAAAATGTGGCAACGTATCTTGGGTGATATGATGGGATAATGATACTTTTTACAATTAGGTTGCTCTAAGTGAGGAGTATAAATCGGGAGGGAAGGATGGAGGACTCCTCTTCTCGGTTTCTCTACATCCCTTCCTCCGTTTTCAAACAGTGGTGGGCTAAAAGGACGAGTGTGGCTCTTGGTGATTAAATATGTAATTTTGCGTACATACTACCAATATGAGTAGAAGGGGACTGACTAATGGATAGCGCAGCTCCTGAGTCATCGGTGGCTGACCACAAACATTTTTTTCTGGCAGGGTTTATCTAAACTCTCGCCTCAACTGTAAAACCCCCGAAACCATTATAAAAAATCGCACAAATCCCACCACCACAATAGCCAAAAATGCCTGCCCCTACAGCTCTCGTAAAAGCTGCTGGATCTATCACCCCGGCTATGGAACAATCAACCATGGGTACATTTATTCCATTTCTTTTTTAGACAAAATAGCGGGGAAACGAGAGAAAGAGAAAATTCTAACTGGGGCCATGGCGGGGTTATCTATAGAGGTCGTTGACGACGAAGTTCTTATCGACGCTTCAGCTTCCACAGCTCCCGTTTCCAGTATTGTAGTCCCTCTGCTGAAGGAAGCAGACGATACTGAAATGCACATTGACGAAGAAGGGCGCCCGAAATTTGCGCCCGCAAAAGCAAAGGTATGTATCCCCAGTTTGCAGGCCGATGCCTTTGTTCCAAGCACTAAACTTTCATGTCTAGAAAATTAGGCAAAAATCCGAGTCGCGAAAGGTCGGAATACCGCCTCACAGAATGGCGCCTCTCAAGTCGGCATGGCCCAAGATCTACCCCCCACTCGTGGAGCATCTAAAGCTCCAGGTTAGGATGAACCTTAAGGATAAGGCTGTCGAGCTTCGCTCTTCGGCAATTACATCAGATACTGGGGCGCTGCAGAAGGGTGCCGATTTTGTTAAAGCATTCTCGCTGGGATTCGATGTGGACGATGCTATCGCTCTGCTCAGGCTCGATGATCTGTACATTGAGACCTTTGAAATCAAGGATGTCAAAACTCTTACCGGCGAGCACTTGGGAAGAGCAATCGGGCGCATTGCAGGAAAGGATGGAAAAACAAAATTTGCGATTGAGAACACTACCAAGACCAGAGTTGTTTTAGCGGACCAAAAAATCCATATCCTGGGAGGATTTCAGAATATCAGAATGGCGAGGGAAGCCATTGTCTCATTGATCTTAGGAAGTCCTCCGGTATGTGTAATCCATAGTGTAATTCCTGGTGGATACTGACGACATTATAGGGCAAAGTCTATGGGAATCTCCGAACAGTGGCTGCGAGGCAGAAAGAGCGGTTTTAGGAAAATTTGGGTTCAAAAAAGTTTCATTTTATTTCATTTTTCTTTTCTTTTCCTCTCTTTACGACGTTATGGGTTTCCTGGCGCGCGGTTTCTATAGGTATTCGATTCTTTTGTTTCTTTTCTTAGACACGCGGATACCATGTAAATGCGTATTTATCTAGGGTATGCGCGAGTTCCTATCACGTGAAAGGCCACCCATGCTGTAGAAGGATGCTTGACAGCCTTATCCGCGGTGGAGATTGCGACATCGCTACCCGCGATATGTGTCGTCGGTACATACCAGCCGCGAGTTCAGCTCCTTGACTTAGATTCGTGCTAGGTATTATCTTCCGCAATGAAACTGCAGCCTCGATCTAGGCTTAACTTACTGAGAATGATTCAGATGATTGGAACTTGAAAGTGATTGGTTAAGTTGTGAAGTCTGCAATTTTTATTGATGGGTATGGTAGTTGTTGTTCGCTGCAGGGGTTGGGAGGTCAATCTTCGACTTGTAGGCAGGTTTATGTGTGTATGTACATACTGTAGACGGGTATATTGCCATTTCTCTATCTCAAAGTTTCAAGAGAAAGGAAGGGAGCAGGCGAGAGAAGAGGGGGTCTCGTTTGAATGAATTGTCCGGGGTGATTCGCGTGGGAGCCGGGAGAACCCCCTTTAATCTGCCTCACATAGAGAAAGCATCTTACAGTACAGCATAGTAGATTCGTGTATACATATTGGATGGGTGGGGGAAAGCAGACAAAGCGATTGAAGTGTCTAAATGTAGTTACACTGGGGGAGTCAAGACCGCCTAAGATAACCCCGCAAGAAAGGTCAGAAAGGATACATGTAGACAGAGGGAGAGAGAAGGCGAAGAAGAGAGAGCGAGAGATCGCACTGCTTCCTCTTCTCTCAACATTACGTTTGTGGTTCCGTTGTCTGCGACGGGCGTGGTTAAAACTCCGTCTCGACTGGGGACAGGAAGCCCATACAACATACCTGTGTTTAAGCCGCAACCCTTTGCGCAGTTTGTCCCTACACAAGGGCCTATCCGCTCGCTGCTCGCTACTCTGCTCACGTCTTGTCCTGGTCATTGTCCTTGCTTTCGTCCTCCTTGTGTCTGTGTCCTGGCAATGAAGACGCTGCTACTATCGCTCGCCCGATTTCAACTCTACAAGTCGTCCCTGCTGCTTCTCTAAGTGAACAAGAAATGCCAACCCTCACTCCCATCCCGGTCAGACAGAATGGCCGCCAAATCGAACGTCCGAGAACCCCAAGCAGACCTAGTACCTCGTCTTCTTCTAAAGAAAATGAGGTTTCCTCAAAAAATCCCGCGCCTCTGGCAGATTACGTGAGTTAACTTTCTGCTGGTGTAAGGAAGGGATGCCTGGCTGATTTTGGAGGTAGACCCTTGGAGACTGTCTGGGGAAGGGCGCATTTGGATCGGTATATCGAGCACTCAATTGGGGAACTGGAGAAACCGTCGCTGTGAAGCAGGTGAGGCTCGCAGATTTGCCAAAGAGTGAGCTGAGGGTTATTATGGTAAGTCTTCCGCGACTGTGTAAGATGTTGGCTAGTACTAAGTTCTGTTGTATAGCTTGAAATCGACCTTCTGAAGAACTTGAATGTATGGGAATACACGTCCGCCTCCCTGGTACTACCTACACCTACTGATCATAAGACAGCACCCAAATATTGTTCAATACCATGGCTTCGTTAAGACGACGGACTCTTTGTACATCATTCTAGAGTATGTAGATATCTCGGGTGAGGAAGTGGCGAGGCATGGGCTAATGATCGATAGGTACTGTGAAAATGGCTCCCTCCACAGCATCTGTAAAAACTTTGGAAAGTTCCCCGAAAACCTGGTCGGCCTCTATATGACTCAAGTTCTCCATGGACTACTGTATCTCCATGACCAGGGTGTTATCCACCGTGATATCAAGGGTGCCAATATCCTAACGACGAAGGAAGGCTTAGTTAAGCTGGCGGATTTTGGAGTTGCCACAAGAACTACCGGACTTAGTGACTCGTCGGTCGTTGGAACTCCGTATTGGATGGCGCCGGAGGTTATTGAGCTTGCAGGAGCTACTACATCGTCAGATATCTGGTAAGATGCTTCTTCAACTTTCGGCAGTTCTTGGTTAGGGCTTATAGAGGTGAAGGAGTGTGGGATGTACAGTGGTTGAACTTCTTGATGGAAAGCCGCCATATCATAAGCTTGCTTCCATGCAAGCATTGTTCAGAATTGTCAATGATGACCATCCGCCACTTCCGGAGGGAGCTTCGCCAGCAGTTCGAGATTTCCTCATGCAATGTTTTCAGAAGGATCCCAACCTCCGAGTTTCGGCCCGTAAACTACTGAAGCATCCGTGGATCGTCAATGCGAAGAGATCAGACTCTGTGGTGCGAACACCAACTACAAAGTATGATGAGGCCGTCAAAAGTGTACAGCAATGGAATGCGGCTCTACAGTCTCCAAATGCCCCGAAAACAACCCGACCTTCCGTCCTTAGCCCCAATCCTCCTCGACGTACACATGTATACAGTCTTGAGCCTGGGAAAGGGCCATTGGCGTTGAGGTCTCGGCCAACTGAGGCGTTCATGTCTCCAGAGAAGACCCGTCAGTATACAATTCCTACCTTTTTCTCGTTTTTCCGATTACTAAATCTACAATAGTTGAGGATGATAACTGGGACGATGATTTTGGGTCTGTTATATCTGCGGCTGCCCTTCAGTTTCCTCGTAATAAGATCGCGGATGGAAATATTGCAGGGCTGCAATCTTTTGACCGATTGAAGTCCTTTGCATCCAACGATGGCACAGACGAGAACTGGGGCGATGACTTTGAAGGGGATATAACCATTAAAAGTCCACCGAGTGAGTGATGTTTGGTGAACCAAAATCCATATCAATGATCCCTACTAATGAAAGTACAGTCATGGATTTCGAGGCAGATCCTATGCAGACGATAAGACCTTACTTTCCTCGTAGACAAAGCGAACCCTCCCTACCGAGTGACGATATATCCACCACAATGATCCCAATTACCGAGCCCCCGCCATTGCCAACAACACCTACGAAATCGAAACCGCGAAAGCTAATGTTACCGTTTCGAAATACGTCACGACATCCATCAGTATTCAGAGAAGATGCATTCGAGGATTATTCTGATCTTGCACCAGTTAACGAAGCAACATTTGCTAAGAAAGTTGACTTAATGAAGGTAGAATATACCCCGTCTCCTTGCTTTATATTATGCCCGTGTCTCATTAGATTTATGAATAGAAGGATGCGTCACTAAGTCCGCGACTTTTTCATCCGAGTGATCTCAAAAGTCTACCGAGATCTACAAGTTCCTCTCAGCATGGTAGTTTAAGGAGGCAAATATCATTGGCGTTGGGAGATACAGAAACGCAGGCACATGCAATACGGAGGTCACGGTCTTCGATGGAGATACAGAGATTTGCGGAGCCCGAGGGCGAGGACGATTATTCGGATATATTTGGTAGTGAAGGAGGAACTGATGAGGCTGGCTCTGAGACTAGTGGTGATGACCATAGCTTGTTATTAAACACCAAGCTTTCAAACAATTCTTGGGTAAGTCCTTATATCATCTTCGGTTTGTTTCTTACTGATTTTTATTTATTTTTAGCTGGGAGACGAGGAGCCCGATGAGGATGATCCATTCGCCCAATTAGAAGAAGGGTTTGACGAAATGGGTGAGATTTTTCCCACCAGGCTGGACTAAAGAAATACAACTGACATGTTTATAGATCTCGAGGCAAATATTGCTAGAGATAAATATGCACGACTTTGCATCCAGGTTGAAGCCTTGGTTGGCTCATTAAAAGAAAATCAGTCGGAGGAAGACCTGGATGATATCTCATCCCAGTTGGTATGACTTTTCTCGGAGGAGTCAAAAGTCAGACCTGCAAGCTAATTTTAATAGATGGACGTCCTTCTGGAATCCCCGGAAACAAGAAATACTATAATTGGTGCTCATGGTATGTTACCAATATTAGAGGTTTTGGAGACTTGTAAGAAACGGGAAGTCATCCTCAAGCTATTGAAGATTGTAAATGCTGTAGGTCAAAATCCTTTTAGTTCTAAGGCATTATCCTGACGAATCCCAGATCATTTTCGATGATGTTGAAATTCAAGAGAACTTGTGTTTCGTTGGGGGGATCCCCATCATCACGAAATTTGCGTCGAAGAAATACCCAGGGCACATCCGTCTGGAAGCCGCGGCATTTGTAAGACAAATGTATCAAACTTCAACACTGACATTACAGATGTTTGTCAGCTGTGGAGGGTTGAATGTTCTCGTAGAGTTTCTGGAAGAAGATTATGACGCCCAGAAGGATTTAGTGCTCATCGGAGTGAATGGCATTTGGAGCGTCTTCGAAATGCAGGGCCCTACGCCAAAGAATGATTTTTGCCGGATATTTTCCCGAAGCTCGGTTTTGCATCCATTATCATTGGTATTGTGTCATGTTCTTGATGAGGACGGGGAGTTGTCGGATTTATGCGTGGAACGTATAGTCAACATCTTCTACCTATTTTCCCAAGCAGAGAACCATGTCAAGGAAATGGTGGCGGATAGGATAGTTTTGAAAAGTATACCATTCTTATCTTTTATTCAACCTTAAAACTGACATTTTGGCAAGGAGTGTTAAAAGACCTGAAGCGGATGGCGCCGTCTCATCAGGTGGTAATGTTGAAATTCATCAAAAATCTGTCCATGTTGTCGTCTACCTTGGATACATTGCAAAATTCCAACGCAATCGAGGTCCTGACTGATCTTTTGACTGCCAGTATGAACGCATCACATTTTAAGGTTTTTATTTCTGATTCTTGATATGTTTGTTGGGTGTTCTAACCATATTCTAGGAAATTTCAAACCAAGTCCTGAATACAATGTTTAACTTGTGTAGATTGAGCAAGTCTCGGCAGGAGGAGGCTGCTCTCCATGGGATTATTCCATTGCTCCAACGTATCGTTAGTACGGAGCGGCCACTTAAAGAATTCGCGCTACCTATCCTTTGTGACATGGCCCACTCTGGAAAGGTTTGCAGAAAGATACTCTGGCAAAACAAGGGTCTTCAGTTTTATATATCGTTACTCTCGGACCCGTATTGGCAGGTTACTGCGCTTGATGCCATCTTTGTTTGGTAAGTTTTTTCTTTTTTCTTTTTTCTTTTTCTTTCTTCAGTTGGTATATTTGGCTTAAGGCTGATAGTGTTATAGGCTTCAAGAAGAGACAGCAAGAGTAGAGGAAAAGCTGCTCGGCGAGTCATTTACTACAGCTATCATAAATTGCTTCACAACTTCGAAAACAAACGCCTTCGAAAATATTCTTGACCCTTTGCAAAAATTAATGCGTTTAAGCTTACCGATTGCTCATGCCGTTGGCCAACCAGAGTTTTTTTCTCGAATTCTCAGCAAGTTATCTCACCACAAAGCCCTTGTTCGATTGAATCTTCTCAGGATACTACGGACCATCTGTGATGCAAGCGAACAGAAAGAAGCCTTGATCAGAATACATGGCATGTATAGCACGATCTATCGTTTGGCACAAAAGGATAATGCTGTGCTTGTTTCGAACCTTGCGGGAGAATTGATAAAAATGTGTGCTGAGAGGGAGAAAGAGAAACGTGTGAGCTATCGCAGTAGAGGACATAGAAGCATATCGTCAAGCACCTCGTCATCATTTTCTATGAGGGAGAGGGCTTTGTCTTCTTCGTCACAGCGGGGGAACGTCTCTAGCCTATGGGGCTATGATGTGAATGGTATCGTTGCAGGAGATGAGATTGACATGAATCATCTACCACTAAGCACTGGCAATAGTGCCGGAAGGGTTGTACAAGAGAAGAAAAAGGTTCTCAGGAGAACGCCTCAAAGCTCGGGACTGAGGACTTCAAATAAATATATACCTCGAAGAAGTCGTGGGCCGCCTACTACCGAAACGCCGGAGTGGGGTTGAAGGAGATAAGATATGTTCTGAGACTGGAGCATTCCACGGCGAATTACATATTTTTGGGTTTCTTTAATTTCCTATCATTGTCTTATTATACCTCCTCTTTCTGTAATGATTTTTTTATTTTGCCTTTATTCTGCTGTCAAATTTCTTCTGACTTTGTTATATGTACTGCATATCCTTAAGGAGTAGCATCAATGAACGACCGGTTTGTTTTCGCCTTTGTTCCATGACCTGGGATTACTCGCCCTAGAGATTAATTATAAATCCCATTGCCAATCACGTGTTAACATTGCGGGGATGTTGATGATGATTTCCAATCAAAAAAAAAACTAGGTACCATCAGCCCCTCTATATTTAATCGCATTTTACGTTCCTAAATATCGATACTCAACAATCTCAACTATGGCTGCCTCAATTTTCCCTTCATACCCCCCCTCAATATCATCTAAGCAATCTTCATACTTGCTTAAGTCTTTTATAGATTGGTCGCTGTTTAATGGTCTTAGCGTCCGCCCACTTCAAGCGGAAAATCAAAACGGAGCTCTAGCAGTACATGCACCAGTAACCTTATTCCCGAGTCCCTTTCCGAGAGCATGTTTTGAGGAGGCAAAAGCGGTCCAGATATGGTTCAATGAGTTATATGCGAGAATTGCAGCGGATGAGGAGTGGTTATTGAAAATTGTGGACGAGTATGTGTTATCCTTTGCTTTTCCGATTGACTCTTACGGGAGATTTACATTGGAACTGAGTCGGAAAAATTCGGCATTGGGAATGAAAAGTGACTGAGATTTTTCCTTTCTCCTATTTGTAGATTGATCGAGGTGGACGATTTCATGGCCCGTTTATACAAAGTACATCTTGATGTCAAAAAAGAAGGCTTTGTTCAGGATCTTTCCCTTGGCATATTCCGGTCAGACTACCTGATTCACGTGGACCCTTTGTCTCCAACCTCACCACCTATCATTCATCAGGTCGAATTCAACACCATCTCTGTGTCTTTTGGAGGTCTCGCGACTCGCGTTTCGGAACTCCATAGACACTTACTGCGAATGGGCGCATATCCATCGGCGACGGCCAACTTATTAAAGCAGAAGAATATACCACTGGATCCCTCGGCTAAGGAAATAGCCAATGCTCTGGCGGCAGCGCACAAGGCATATGGCCTTGGAGGATCGGGACGTAATACGGCAATATTATTCATCATTCAGGATGATGAAAGAAATATTTTTGATCAAAGGTTGATAGAATATAACCTCCTAGAAAATCACGACATTCAGTGCTATCGTATCACAATACAACAAGTCCCGGATCTCATCACTCTGGATCCTGTAACATATGCGTTGATATATCATCCGCCGCATGATGATGGAGTCCATATGGAGATATCTACGGCATATTTTCGCTCATGCTATGGTCCAGAAGATTTTCACTCTGAGACTGATTGGGTATCTCGTACTACAATTGAGCGCTCAAAAGCTATTAAGTGCCCATCAGTCATCACCCAGTTAGCTGGAGCCAAAAAGGTGCAGCAAGTCCTCGCCATGGAAGGTACTGTTGAAAGGTTTCTCCCAGACACGTCGATCTCAACTCGGGTTCAAAATACTTTCGCCGCCATATATCCACTCGATACCTCATCGGCTGGTCTAGCCGCTCGTGACCTGGCACTCAATAACCCGGAAAAGTATGTTCTGAAGCCACAGCGGGAGGGGGGAGGGAACAATATCTACAGATCTAAGATACCCGACTTCCTCAAGTCAATCCCGGAGTCGCACTGGAGCAGTTATATACTCATGGAATTGATCGAACCGCCGAGTTTAGGTAATAGCATAGTTAGAAATGGAATTATCACAACTGGCGAGGTTATTTGCGAACTAGGCATTTTCGGGGCAGTACTTTGGAGAAACGGCAAAGGGCTAGAAAGTGGCAAAGGGATAAAGGAGATTGTTGTGAATGAAGAGACTGGTTGGCTATTGAGAACGAAAGGAAGAGATAGTGAGGAAGGTGGGGTAGCAGCAGGATTTGGAAGTGTTGATGGCATTTTACTCGTTGATTGAAACACGTCTTCATGAGTGATCACTCGGCTTTATAATTAGCAGCTGTTAAGGTGCACATGTATTCACCCAAACAGTTGAAATATTAGATGCGACTGTATTAAAATACGTGAAATTCATTATGCAAAGCTATCCATTAGAGAGCTTGCACGGCAGCTATGCTTACTTGGCCAAGATAATCAGCCAACTCTCACTCTAATACTGTATTTTTTTTTTGAATTTTTGAATTTTTTTTTGTTTCTGATCTACAGGCCCTTATCCCAACCCAGAAATGAAAACCAGAACCCCGAAAGAATTTTTGCATTGAAAGGTAGGATTTTTATGGATTGTTGGAAGGGAAAGAAAAAAGAGAAAAGCGCTTAGTCGAAAAGACCGAAACCCATGTCCTCGTCTGACTCCTCCTTCTCCTCCTCCTTCTCTTCAACCTTCTCTTCAGCAGCAGCAGCACCACCAGCGGCAGCGGCACCACCAGCAGCTGGCGCGGCAGCAGCACCACCACCACCGGATCCGACGTTCAGAAGCATATCCTTAACATCCTTTCCCTCGAGAGCCTAGTTTGTAAAGGGAGAATGGTCAGCAACCAATCTTTCCTTAACCTTTCCTTAATATCTAAACCGTTGGTTTCAGACCTTAGCGAACAATGTGGTCCAGATAGGCTCGACATCGGTGCAACCAGCAGCCTTGATAAGGGACTGCAACTTGTCGGCCTAAACGTATATCAAAAAAGTGTTAGTTTGCCGTCGGCGGAAGGTCGCTGAGTAGTGTTTTGGAGCTTTGTGATGACGTACGGTGATTTCAACACCATCATCGGCCAAGATGAGGGCGGCGTAGGAAACGGCAAGTTCGTTGTTAGACATCTCGATATCTGCTGGATTTGGAGTTAAAGCTGATTCTGGCTTTGAAATGTAGAGTCTGCCAGAATGATTACTCACTTATTCGTTAGATGTTGATGAGAGGATGGGGCGTCTGTCGGCGTTTTCTGTCGTGAGATTATCGGAGGTGAGTACGTAGATGTTGCGAAATTATGAGATGAATGTTCTTTCCCATTCAGTGGCGGTGGGTTTGAGCCCTGTGTGGGCTAAAAAGCAGTCATGTAGTATTTATCACAGCTTGATATCTAATCTAATCAGATTAAACATTACCAGCCACATGACGCCACCGTTCATCTTAAGGAGTACATACGGTATTGTACCCACGCTAAGCACAAATCTTGCTCCTATAATATGGGATGTGCACTCCAGAGGTACATACATGTATTCAGATTCTTGAGAAATTCAGTGGCATAAGCCGCATTGTACTCTAATGCAGCTTTATAAATTAAAAGTACATACATGTAGTTCTAGAAATGAATACCTCTACTAGCAATGCCGACAATTCTATGGGTCATGTGACTCATTATTCTGAGGCCTACGTACCGAATACATACTGAAGGCTCCGCGCAAAGAAGTGGGCACGTGACCCATAGAATTGTCGCTAGTAATCCCAGCTTTCACTCGGTAACAAACCTAACCCTCATTCCGTGAACCTTTTGCTGTAAAGTCACGCCGTCGCGGGCCTAGTATGAGCTACTTGCTTACCAGCAAAAGAACCAGGGATTATTTGTATGAGAGAACGGCGCCACTCCATACAAACAATCCTTGCCCTGAGCGACCGTATTTTCTAGTTCTTTTGCTGGTAAGCAAGTACAAGCCTTCGATGAAGCTTGTTGCCACCTAGCCAGGTGTGCATGTGGGGTTGACATCCGATAAGCGCGTATTTTTGAGAATGGCGGGTCACCATGTGTATGACCCCATGTCATCCATCATACCCCTGCTTTGTGCAGCACATAGATTCCACTGATAGCTGCTGCTTTGGAGACCTATCAGCACCTTTGACATCAAGTGTCTTATCGGATACTCAATCAAAATATGTTCACCACTCCGGAGGCAGTTGCTGAGAAGCTCATCAAGCTCCGAGACAGCTTAATAAAGCTCAAGCAGGATCGAACAACATACGTCAAGTCTAGTAGTGTGGTTCGTCTCTATGATGAATTGTGCGAATATATCCGACAAGCACAAGAGTTTGAGAGCGAACTTTTAAATGGCCCGAGGGAAAGTGGGAGCAAGCGTGAGATAACTTCTCTGGAAATTCCATTTTGCTCCCAAGGACATCTTGGGTTTATTATACTAAATTATACGCATGCAACTTAGTTGGCGAGCTTGTGACCGACTGCTACGAGTTAATATCACTGTTGTTCTTAACAGTCGGAAGAAACAACGAACCACCAGCAGTGTAAGTCAATAAGTGTTTAAAACCCTTATAATATTTCATAATTCTAGACACAGAAAAGCTTGTAACACGTAGATACAGTGCAACCTTGATGATGATTTAAACAGGCTATCACATTAAGGCTCTATGGATCTGTCGGTTTTTTTCTCTCTCAAAAGTTGCACTGTATCATATGTTATGGCTCGATTTACTCTGATATGAAAACTACTCTAATAGAAGATCGACTGTGCTGACTGTGAATCTTAAGTTACGCCCCTAGCGTCATTATCAAGGTTTTTCTCCAAGAACACTTTCTTATATATTATACTAACATTAAAAAGCGACTTTTAGAGCACCTGAACGAGTCGGGCAATTTTTCTCGAAAGGATCTTGTCCCACTTCAGCGTACACTAATAAATATGCGCGAGAACATCGAACAAGGCCGACCCCTCTACAATTCTCTAATTATATCTATGCTTGAATCACAAGTTTGCGCTTCTGAAAGATCTTTAAAGGAATTGAAGAAAAGGTTGGAACCGATACCATCAGAACTGGAGAGTTTATTAGAGAGACTTGTGAGTCTGCGGAGGAGCATCAAGGCCTGTGAGTCTAAGAAGCAGGTAAGTTGTAACTTCAAATTTTTCGAGAAAGGTTTATATTGAATTTCTCGTTAGTTCCAAGTTACAGAGGTCGAGGGATATCTATCACAAATCAAAGAGATCGACGCGTCTAGAATAGATGGGAAGTTTGTGGCAGAGGATGGAAATATTCCGGAGACGGGACAAGATATCTTGGATACTTTGCTCAAACGTTGCTATATAGTAGCGGAAAACGCTCTGCAAAAGTGGGCAATAAATACATCAATCATAAACTATCGCAACTTTACTGATACTTCTTAACTCTCTAGGCAAGGCGCAGTGGCACCTGGGTTGAAAACTACATATGAAGAATTATTTCAAGCAAAGAGTCAACTGGAAAAATTAGAACTGACGCAGGCTTGGTCATTGAGAGAAACAGATCTTTATGAGTTCCAAAAGCTTGTTTTAACTCTCGATCAGGAACGAGTGAACGGAAAATTTGTGGATAGTGAGGGAAACGCACCTGGAGAAGGTCAAGGTGTAAGATTTTTAAACTACTCAGAACCCTCAATGCTTTAGACTAAGACTAACTCAAATCATTTTATGCAGATATTATTATATATGGTTAGACGGTGTTATGCACATATATACAGTTTGATAAATTCAAGTGAAGTAAGTAATATACTCTTAGTAAACATTCCCAGTTTCCATATCGCCGAATCTAAAACCATGTGTAGCCCGTCAGTGAAGCCCTGACGCCCGTCTTCAACCAACTCCAAACAGTACGTCGTTGTTTAAAAGAAGTACAGAAATTCGGTATCAGCAACGCTAGAGACCTCTATCCATACAGCATGAAAGTACGTTATGTCCATTACCCGCCCATATTCTATACCATAACTGATGACTGATTGTAGCTGGCCTCTATTGATAATATGAGAGTCGATGGTAAATTTATGGTAGGGACAGATATCCCCGAGGGCCAAGGAAGGGTAAATTCCTTATTGGCAGAATGCTTCGAGATTTGCGAAGAACTACGAAATAGCGAGGACTGTGGGGTTGCAACTCCCTAAATCTATGTGGCACGTGCTGAAATCAGGTATCTGTTTTGTGTTTGATATAGAATAGGATTTTTATTCGGCATTTTTCATGCTTTATCTGAGAAGCGTCATGGCCCGTTTAAATATATATACAATGCATTCATATCTCATTTTTCCCAGAAATACAAGATTATATTTTAGATGACTTCCTGAAATGGTTATTAGTTTTATTAGATTTAGAACTACTAAAGCTATATACACTGTGTAATCATAAATGGTATGAAGAAAAAAATGGAAGAGTATCCCATAGTGATTGATAGAGGCCTACCCCGTCTAGAGTAGACTGCATGTATGTACATGTACATATGTACTTACATGTATGTACACTATGCTGTACCTATACACTGGGACAACTTCCCTAGTGCCGGGGATTCCACGAAAGTGGGAGGTCTTTTTATCATATTCTGGGGATTTGCACCGATAGGACCGTTTCGATTTAGCACTTGAGCAGGGGGGATTGGTTTCCGGGGATAGAAAGCTATAGGAACCGTATTTAATATTTAAGCCATGTAAAGGTACGGGGCTGATAAAAAGTAGATGGATGTAGGTGCTCCTTAGACAAAGTACCCACAGAATACAGGTAGTATGATCTCCAGTTAAAGGCACCACCCAAGAGTCAAAAGCTTATGCCCTGTGACAGATACATTTGTTGGACGTCTTACGCTATGTCTTAGAAGCACAGGATTTTGGTTCTTATCTCTGCCGAATCCCTATAATACCCAATTGTTGTTTTTACTTTTGAATTGAGAGGTTCGGAAGATAGGAAACCAAATCCTTTTAACTCTAACCTTTGCTTTATGTATTAGGTGTAGATACAGTACTGTGGCTCCATGTCAGCCGCATTTGTTGATGCACAGATGGTGTATGAACTCCGACTCGTAGTGTTCCCAACTAGCCCATGCGTCTGACTCTTCTCTGTGCGAGCTGCGGCAAGCCGGGAGTTTAAGTCCTCATTAGCGGGGCCTGTGGGACTTGCCGCAACAGAGTATGTACATGTATGTTTGGAAGCATATTTTATGGACTTTGTCAACAATGGGCTTATCTTCCGGAATTGTAGCATCATGTATCTATATGTGAACCGATACACAAGAGTCAGTACTTTACCTACAGTAGAGTAGAGTACATGTAGGTACTTGTATGTACTTGTATACATGTAGTTGCGTGTACTCTAGAGTACCTACCTACATGTACTTACATTACTCTACTAAAGGTACATACATGTACCGGGTGTTCACCATTAATGTAAAGAACAATGGTGTTCTCAGTATTAACCCACAACCCCCGGTACAGAGAGTAGGTACAGTGGGTGGATTTCCGAGCGGGCCTTCCCACTAGAGGTCTAGGAGGACAAAGCGATTCAGGGGTTGGTGTTTGGGTTTTCTGTTTGTGAACTGGAGTGGTAAGGTTTCAGCTTCAAGGCGGCGGAAAAGAGCAGTACGTATGTCCCCAGCCACGCACGCAGAAAGGACCAGACCCAAGTGAACGCGGAAATAATGAAAAGGGGAAAAAAAAAGAAGTGATATGAACTGGCGGAAAGACGGCAGGAAGAGACACTGGAAACATAGCAGAATAATAATTCAATAATGGGTGTGTGGAGCGCAACGATTACTTTACAGGGAGGATTGGCGATTACAGTACCACAGATCCATATCTACATGTATGTACGTAGATATGCAAATGACAGGAATACAAATGTTTTCTTCGGGGATGGGACCAGACCAATTAACTGACTCTCTGACTGGGGCTGTTGCCCGGGATGCACGCAAAGGTAAAGAGATATTACCTACAGTGCAATTATGACAAACTGTCTCTTGCGCCGGCGCACGTTCATTTTCCACGTATGGATGAGAACACAGGCAGCAGTAGCAATTCAGTACATAGCAGCAAGCACTGGCAGGCAGGCAGGCAGGCAAGCAAGCCCCGTTCGTTCAGCTGCGGCCAAGACCTCAGCCTGTGTCCAGCCAGTATGTAGCCAACCAACCAGCCAGCCCTCCGTTCCATCCCCTTCTCTCTCTTCACAACAACCCTCCTGGGCCAACTCCACTACCTAACACCACCACTACTGAGCCATCAACTGCCCTTCGCGCTTCCTCTCTCTTCATCCTCTGTCTTCTCTCCTCCACCACACCTTGTGCATCCTTTGCATCTCTCGCTATCTCTCTCTTGCTCTCTACGTAGTCTCCTACCACGCTACTGCCTACTCTTCTCCCTTTTTAATACCAAACTACCACCGTTGTAATCCTCCTTTACCCTCTTCATCGACAAACACACATCTACCACTGTTCCCCCCCCCCCTCCTTAGAAAAATAAACAACCTTCGGTGAGTAATGATCCTTATACCAGCGTTTATACATGTGCCTAGATTCGTCCCTGTATATCATGCATCTCCTCCCTTATTCAGAAGGAGCGGGCAGGACAAAGTAGATGGCAAAGAGCTTGTAAACATCCTATTACTTCTCTTATCTACGATGTTACACTGTTGTTGTTCATACTTCGTTTGCATCCATCGGTCGCTTGCTATCCTTTGGTCCTCTAATCATTCGGTCCTCTAATCATTCATCTTGTGCTTTACAGAAATGGCCGAAATTAGACGCAAGTTGGTTATCGTCGGTGACGGTGCCTGTGGAAAGACCTGTTTGTTGATGTAAGCCTCTCGCTATCTCTCGCGAGCTTTAAAGTGTATTTTAAACCATAGCCTTGCTAACCAAAATGCGTAGTGTGTTCTCCAAGGGAACATTCCCTGAGGTATGAATGTTCAGCTACTTATAGTAACTACCCTCAGCTGGATTTTTTATAGTACTGACGCAATTTGGCGTAGGTGTATGTTCCCACTGTTTTCGAGAACTATGTCGCCGATGTAGAGGTCGATGGAAAGCATGTAGAACTCGCTCTTTGGGATACTGCCGGCCAGGAGGATTATGATCGTCTTCGCCCTCTCTCGTACCCCGATTCTCACGTTATTCTGATCTGTTTCGCGATCGACTCACCCGACTCGCTCGACAACGTTCAAGAGAAGGTACATCTTGCCACTTTCCTCGTTACAACGCTCATTACCGAGTGGCAAATTGGTTTCTAACATCAGGATTACTCCAATAGTGGATTTCTGAGGTCCTTCACTTTTGTCAAGGTCTCCCAATCATTCTCGTTGGATGCAAAAAGGATCTCCGACACGATCAGAAGACCGTCCAGGAGCTCTCCAAAACCTCCCAGAAGCCAGTAACTGAAGCTGAGGTAGATTCTTACTATTCTCCCGCAGGAACTCGTAGCTAACTTGTTTAAACAGGGTGATGCTGTCAAGAAGGTTATCCACGCGGACCGTTACCTTGAGTGCTCGGCCAAGACCAACGAGGGCGTCCGCGAAGTTTTCGAGCACGCAACCCGTTGTGCCCTACTACAGAAAAAGCCAAAGCATCGCAAGACATGCAGCATCTTGTAAGTTGGTAAAGCCTTTAGAGGGTCGGTTGTCTTTGGTTTGGCGACGGTGTTTTTTAAATCAACGGTGGCGTGCTTTTTCCCCTTCCGTTTGCGAAATTCCCAACATGGTGCAGTAAAAGGGCACATATTTAGTGTACTGTTCAAGCGTCTTTTGAAGCGGGAGATTGAAGCATCAGTTGAGTTAAAGCCGGGAAAGCAATTACGGATATTGTGGGATGAGGACAGCAAAGTAAGGGAGGAATGGAAACAATTGTTGGGACATGTACTTTTCTTTTTTCTCTATTTTTACTGTTTCTCATCTCTTTTGAAGTGGTGCGGTTTTTCTTGTGTTGTTGGTTCCTTATTATCCCCATTTGAGTTGTCCTGGTTTGGTATTGTCTTTTTACAATCTGTTTTTTGTTTTCTCTTCTACCCTCTGCCGATAGGACGGGGGATAATCGTCGAACACAGGTGTGCTTTTTTGAAAACTCACTCCCTGACGTACGACCCATCTACCTTCTCTGTGACAATCGTGAAATTCCCACGCACCACATGTTCCAGGGTATTTGGCTACAGCAAGGCTAAGAGCAATTCAAGGACCGATTGGTGAATAAAGGAATATCGCTTATCAACGGTCTCGACCAGTACCTAGTGATCCAAATGTCCATTTGTAACAAGCCTGGTACTTTCTTATCTCTGGTAACTACTCTACATGTAGAGATTACACATGACGCAAGCAAAGGTAAAGCCGTTATACACATTTCGCCACTGGGCTTCTAACCATCAACATCCATTATGTCCGCATTCATCGAATTCCCGGCACGTCGTTCTTTTATCCAAGCTTCTATCTGCTCCTTGAGCTCCGTATCTAAGATACTGGTCAGCGTAACAGGACATGATGGGCGACCCATAGAAAGAATCCATGCTTACTAGGAATGACATCTTCGATTTTCAAGGGCTCTCTATTAAATGGATCTTTCGGATCGCTGAGCAAATGAACTTTGATGGTTTGTCGATCAATCGAAACCTTGGAAGACGGTAAGATCACGGGATCTTCCATCAAGGTAGCCATCAGTGGATCTATAACGGCGGTTAGAACTCTGAACTTAAAGCAAGCAATTTGACGAGAGGCCTACCCAAAAAGTCATCCGGAATTTCTCCAAGCTCTTCCTCGCCTTCTTCTTCACGCCGTTTGGTTTCCTCGACCATCGCAGCTAATTTAGCTAACGCTGCAATATCGGGAGTCCCTTTTAAACTGTTCTTTTCTAGAACAGCCTGTAATTTTTGAAAAAGTTCAGGCTTGTATGAACGACCATCTCTTGCAACAGCTTCCACAAATGGTGTGAAGTGTCTAAGATTTAGATAGACGTCTGTGATCTCTGACAACAAGGCTTTGGGATTGAACCGGTATTTCTCGGGGCTACGAACTCTAAGAGAGTTGCATTTAGGTCCGACTAGAGCCTCAAGGTTATAATCCAACATGCCAGCCAATCGATTAACAATTTCTGGCATGATGAAAGCATTAGGAATCGCGGACGTGAAGAGCTTCAGCATCGTGACCGTTTCATTGCCTAATGACATGTACGAAGTTGCATCTCGCTCAGATTTCGCCAATGCCTTCTCTTTTTCGGTTTTTTCTTGAGGGCTCAGGGAAGCAGCCGCATCGCCTTCGAGCTCATGCTGTAATTTGTTGATTTCAGCTAGTGCAGTGAGTGAGTTGTCTAGCACGTAGGTTACGTCGTTGAGAAGAAGAGCCACAAAACGGATAAAAAAATCAACGTTCAACCTTAATGAATATGTTAATTCCGTATATTCCTTAGACAAGACAAAAAACATACTTGCTCTCCTGATCCAGTTTTTCTCTATATGCAGGGTTTGGCCATATTGATTTGATAATCTCAGAAATATGGTAACGGACAGTAAACTTCTCGTAATACTGCCTCTCAATTTCTGCGATTATTTAGTATGAAGCCTTGGATAGAGAAAAGGCTAGCCTACCAATATAAAAGTTCATGAGAGCATTGAGAAGGTGTTGTAAAACGAACTTGTGACCATTTATGACGTCGCCCAACATACCAGCTGTTTTACCACGGTAAGGGGAAATTCCATAATAGAGTATCTCAACGAGTTTCGATTTAAGGTTAGGCTTTTTTATATAGGTTGATGTACGCAGAAAAGTCGTGCAGAAGATGACGAGCTCATCTACTTGGGTCGTCACTATACACTCTGGCAGATATCTCCCTACGAATCCAAAACAAAGTCCGATATCTTCAATGAAATACTCCGGCAGAGCACTAAACTCAGGAGGTGCTTCCGCAGGCAGAGGTAGGCTATTGCTTGTTAGCTTGTATTGTACAGTTGGGATACCAACGTAAATCACCTCATCATTTTTTGTGGGTATCTATGTCCAGGAGAAACAAGTCTTAGGAGCCAGGTCGTAAGGTATCGCATGAACAAAAGCGATCTTGTTTGTGACAAACCGTCAAAAAGGAATACTTCGAGTGCAAACTTATACGCAATTCCTTCGTCTATACGCTGTCTCAATTTTTCTATGTTTCTATCCCAAATACCTATCTGTGGTGTCTATAATTTCAATTAGTAATAAGTCCATATTTGGGTGAGCCAAGCCCCCTTACGTTAACCCAGCGTGATCTCTCGCCTTGGATTCTTTCCAAATGTTTCTCCATATCTCCAATGTCTTTTGCCAGCTGATCGTGATTAACCTCGGTGGCACCAAGTCCGTAGTGGTGGGCTGCAACATTTAGGAAGAAGACTTCAGATATGAAATTATTTGATCCTTCAATCTTTTTGGAATAGAATTCAGATGCGGTGTCTTCATCTGCATTGATTTTTGTCTCATCGCCGATGTCCAGTCTTGGATTACGCCTGAAGTAGTCGATGTCGATTTTGTCAAGCTGTAACGGGTTAGACATTATAATGCGAATTGTATTGTAAAACAGACCTTCGAAAAAGATGCGTCCATAAAAGGCTCGCATAACTTGTTCAATACTGCTGTTATATTGAGCATAAAACCATCGGAGGCTACTGTAGCTTGATCCACCTTCACCAGAAAGATTAGAATATAGATATACTAGGTCTCCTGAAATATTTTTACCTGGATAGCGCCACGCTTCTTATTCAAATTAATTGCTAACGCAAAGAAGTCGAGCACCTTGACCCTCGCTTCAGGCGATGCCCGAATTATCAACATGGTAATCTGATGTAGTTGATCCTTAAAGGTGTCAGCTAGTGACCGGAATCTTGTATATCGGAATTTACCTGTATTGTTTGGAGCGATAACCGAAGAGCTCTGGTTGCGTCATTTAAAGCAGTTTGGCTCTTGGTCTTTGCGCCAGTAAAATATGTGCGACATACTTGTGACTATTTTAATGATCAATTAAGCCGTGTGCTATATGCTATATAGCTTAGAGGTAGTAAATACCTGAAGGGGCGAAAGTTGAAAAAAAGGGCCTAAGATAGTCTCCTTTTCTACAAGATGTGCCGGAGTCTGTTCAGGAGAGGGGAGAAATGAAGGCAGTTTAATCATAAGTTCCACGAGTGGCTTGAATTGAGCAAGCCGTCCTAAAGCCGATATGAATGGTTTATAGTTATCGCTCATGTTCATCTTACTTAGTCGACTACTGAGGTTTTGTATTGCTTGTTGGAAATACTCCACAAGATCCGGGTTGTCTTCGGATCGAGACACTAGATCATTCAAAAATTCTTGGGGCAAACCAAGATCATCTTCTGCATCGTTCAATAAACGATTTTCTAGTTTGGCTAATGCACGATTGTTCCTGGAATAATATTAGAATGACCGGGGTATCGCTGCTTTGTATGGATATAACTTACTCAAAAATATCTGGCATAGTGATACAGTATTCCCCATAGTTGATACAAAGTCTCTTAGCGGTATTCAGAATATTGATTTTCTTCTCGTCTAGTCTAGACGGAGGTGTAGTCCTCTGTATAACAGAGGCTCGTCTCCAGCAACCAACCAAGTAGTCCATGGGGGTAACATCAGAGTCTTTGCATACTGAAAGTATCAATTGGTCCAATGTACCCACGGAAATATGCGCCGCTAGAAAAGTCATTACGGATTCCTGAGCCTATGCGATGGGGCCAAACGTACGCTTTCCTTCAACTGCTTGCTCCTCCAAATCTTTCCGTAAGTCATCCAAGATGTAGTATCCTGTAACCCGTGGCCCAGGCTAAATTCGATTTAGCAATACTCGGAGGTAATCTAGCCTTCGTAAAGATTACTAAGAGCACCAACCTCTAGAGCCACCTTATATATATGCTTTAAGGTCTTGTCCTCCCATAACTCTATAGGACCGAGACTACCCACAGAAGTTGATGATAGCACTAGGGCTTCTGACGGCGGTATAGACTGTGTTGGTTTTACGGGAGAACGGATATCTGGGGGCGGCGATGTAGCTGTCCTTTTGGGCGTTGCGTTTGACGACTGGTTCAACCCCAGCTTAGTGAACGGGTTTGGCACAGTATCACTTTGAGGGCCGGATGTCGGGTTTTGAAGGTCCTTTGTAGGGGAGGAACTGCTTTCACCATCCTCGGCTTGCGATTTTGGCTGCGATGGGGCCTGAAGTCTTGCTAGTCGCTTGTTACGAATCTATAATGTGTTAAATTGTTCTTTGAGATATGTTGAAAAACATAAAGCTTTCTGTTGGAGCAACTGTACTCACTTTGTCGGCCTCAGATTCGGAATTTGAAGACATGACTATCCGCTAGATCCCGAAAGTTAACTAAAGTAGAAGGATCGTTGATCGAGCAGATAACGTTGATGTTATGGAGTGAAGCAAAGGATGTAGTTATGTTGCTACGTGACGAGCAACATGGGGTTAGGATGTGTGCGGCTGCTTTGACGTTGGTGGTGGTGAAGCGTCCGCTGAGCAACCATGCGCAATGCAACCACATATCTTCCACAAGCTTCTCTTCGAGTGAAAATCCATGAAGATAGTAATAGGATATATCGTTTGCAATTGAATTTCCTTATAAGATTTACGAGTACATATTAGTACACAATACTGGTGTTTATAGGTCGTATCGAGTTTCTTTGCTTTTGGGTAGCATAAAAAAGAACTTTTGTATTTGGTCATGGCGAAGCTTGTATGTTTATCGGTCAACTCAACCATAACAACAAGTCCTGTGCTCTAGATGTCAAAAGTCTCGCCACGAACCCATAAACAAATATATAATGATTGATGGCATCGGATAGTGTGATTATAGGCCAGCACCGGGTACCTCTTCATTTCCCTTCGATGCCATAAGAGTCACATAGTTGATTTGAGCTCCCGAGTTGGTTAAGTGGTTTTCTAGCTCAATAGTTAAACTAAGTGATACACTTTTATCTTTGAACCTTTTTCCTTTTTTAAAAAGAAAGAAAGAAAGAAAGGCAAGACCAAATTCCAAACTGCGGCGAGCATAGAGCACAAAAGGATATTCCGGCTGGTTATCTTCCGTTGGGGGGGGGGGGGGGGGGGGGAGATATTCTCCGTGGCAAAAGTCATGCAAGAGGGTTTTGTATAAATTTAAATACAAAGAAAAGAACATTTTTCTAACAGGATTCCAGCCTTCAATTATATCCACCCGACGGGAGAAACCACACAACCACACACTAAACATTTAGGCGGATGCGGAGGCTGAAGGAGTGACGAACACGGTAGTGTAGACGCTCATTGTGGTGGTGCTGGTACTATCGTATGAAATGGTGCTCATGGTGTTGTTGGAGTAGGGAGGGACGATAGGCGAATGGATAATACTCGGGGCAGCAACAGCAGAGACAGTCTATAGGATAAATTAGATAAATATAGAAGAGTTATGGACTGGAATGCTCACAATTGTGCTGTACAAAGTGATATACTGCGGGACATAAACAGTCTCTGCCGAGCAGGCAGCGGCAGCGGCAGGGGTGACGGCAGCGGCAGCTACGGAGGCATCTTCGACAGTGACGGTAGATGCGGTGTTAGGAACTGTGACAACCAAAGTAGTGGTACTTGTAGACTTGGACTTGGCTGAGGAAGCAGCAGCCGCTGAAAGTGCAGACGCATCTGAGCTGGCAGCAGCAGAAACTACGGGTTCAACTGAACTGGCAGAAGTAACCGCAACAGGTGTAGTTTCAATAATAGGAGCAACGGTGACTGTGCTCTTTACGTGTGCAATAGTCTGAGTAGTTTCTTCCGCCTATGATTTATTAGAACTACATGTAGTCAATGGTCAGTTTTGTAGATCGATGTCTTACCTTTGTAATGGTAGTAGTCTTGATGCGGCCATCACCCAAGGTATAAGTGACAGTTACAAGCTTGGTATTTGTCTGAGTAACAGTGACAGTGTATAGCGAAGTGGAAGCTGCAGTGGTGCCAGTTCCATAGGCAATTGAGGTCTCAGTCCCATTGTAGTTTTGCCTGGCTGCAAGATGGCCACGGCGGTGCAGGTGGTTGTGCCCATGAGCACTGCAAGCAGAAATCAGGGCGGTGAGACAAATGATGAGGTTATTGAAAGAAACCATTTTTTATTTCTATGATTGTTTGATGTCCGTAAGGGCCAGAAATGTCAATCTTTATTCTTTGAGAAGCACTGAAAACGATGCAATCAATGCGCAGACTTTCTAGATGTTAAACCGGAAAACGAAAGATTGATATTGGTGGCTTGCGGAAACTTGAATTTGAAAGAGTGACAAAGACCCGAAAGAATTGAAGCCGAAAGAAAAAACGGTAATGAACGTGGGCAAAAAACTTTGCGTTTTCAGAGATTTGTAGGTAAAGAAGAGAGAGGAGGGGGGGGGAACGAGAATAAAAAGGAAAGGGAGGGCGAAAATATGCTGATAGGAAGTTCGGGCAGGAGCATCACGCAGAAATCAGTCGCAAATTAGCTCTTCACCCTGGGGGGGCTCAGAAGTAGGGGTTTGCCGCCAGCGACTGGGATATTGAGGTTGCCCCAACATTAGGGAGGGTACATTGCTTGTACAATTATCTGGGCAAATCTTGCTATATCCCAATTTAGTATGAATTAGCTACTTGCCCAACTTAGGCTATTCGGTATCTGGGAAGTGGGGGACTGATATGTGAAAGTGTTAGGGGTCTAAGATGAAGGGAAGTAAATTTTCGCGATAAACATGAAACCCCTAAAGGTTCCAGGGGACAACTTCGTCCACTTTAGTACAACCTGCATTGGTAACCTAATCAAACGAGCAAATCAGAATTCATAGTAGATGAGTGTGAGAGACTCCGACATTGATGTCAGTTAGTTCCCCGGACGTAAATTTGGCTAGCATTCGTAGAGTATCCCCGATATCGTCATTTATCTATGCCCCCCAAACTGCAGCAGTTGTCGTTCTTGACTCTTGACCTGGTTGTTGTTAACAGCGAATCGGCTTCTTAGCGCTTGCAACCCTTTGTGCATACATCTTGAAGTCTCGCCTTGGCAAATTTCCCCTATCCGAAATTACTGATCTAATAATCAAAATCACTCCTCGAAGCAACCCCCGACCTGGGATGTAACTCTAATCTAGCTTTGGGTCCTTAAGGGTCCACGCTCCTCAACTTCATGCTCAATGTGCGGCACAACAGATCTCACCGGTAGCTACATGTAAGTATGAGTACATGTAGCTACATGTACTAGTATTTCTCTGACGTTTTTGAACTGGGCCATTATTGCATACACCCAAAATCATGAGCTTGGCGTATTTTTGTATGGCATGCAATATTAGTCGTGTCCACAAACGTTAGAGAAATACGAGTAGATGTACCTAATGCGAGTAGACGCGATCCCGGGGGTATGGTTAAACTGGGAGTATGATTAATTACACCTAAATTCAAGAAGGAATAAGAAGAATTCTTGAGAATAGACTCTATTCTTTACGAGAATATGGAGAACCGTTTTTAATCGTCAGGAGGAAGTCGTGGGAGTTGGCTATCCCTTAAGCTGTCGCGAAAATGCTGACCCACCAAAAAAAAAGCAAATTTGGTGTGGCTTTACTAACAGATCCCGTTATCTCTCTTATCAAATAATAGATCTCTCATGGGACAGTGGGAAAATCTCTCACATGCATTAGCGTGGCCTATCGAGGAAATGATTTACTGAAGTAAGGCAGCGAACTACGAACTTTATGGCACCGTTAAGTATTCCCAAGACCGACAAAGGCAGCAAGCTGCTTACCCGGATGTTTTCTCACCAAATTCACGGTCACATGACGTTCATGCATGAGAGAGATTTTCCCACTGTCTCATACATCCAGGGGTCAGCATCAACGTTAAGGGATACAGTGCGTCTAGCTCCCCTCTACCTATCAGAACGGGGTAAGGGCCTAGTGTAACCGCTGATTCCATGCAGCTAGCTAGGGTCAGGGCTACTCGTGCGTCTTCACCAAGGATTTTAACGTGACTGAGAGATCAAGGCATTTGACCAATTGGAATACCAAAATCCCTTTCTTCACCGAGTCAGGTGAAAATTCTTGGCGAAGACGCGCGAGTACTTGTTTACCAGCATATGAACCAGAAAATGCGAGTTCGAGAGTCAAGGATTATTTGTATGGAGTGGCGCCGATCTGCCGTACAAAATAGACATTTGCATTTTCTGGTTCATATGCTTGTAAGCAAGTACATGTATTTCTATTATCTACTGGATTAACGATTTTTCTAAACTCTCTGGCATCTGATTGGTCGAGAGCTGTAACCCTTAACTCCGCTGCAACTATCTCACTTTACTAAAATATGATGCTGTAGAAGCTCTACGGTTCACGCACTAATATTTAAAGATAGAATCAATTTAATTCATTTTTTTAAACTAAGAGCACTAGTAGCAATGGGAGCATGCGCAGGAAGAGGTGGACGGCGGTGGAATGGGTGGGGGACAGCGGGTAGGAGGTGGAGGATAGAGGACCTGGAGGAGGTGGAGGGTTTGAAGTCCAGCTTTCAATATTCCAATATTTTCAATACTCAGAATCCAACAACTCGCGGTCGCGAGGTGGCACACCCCTAGTATACATGTATGTATACATCCCTTCGTTCGTCAGAGCAAAATCGGAGACATATTAGGCCCGCGACGGCGTGGTGATATTCAAAAACTCTAGCTACCTACAGACTGTGGAGACACCTGAAAAAGGTATAAGAGGGGTCACAGAAGGTGACTTTACAGCAAAAGGCTCACGGAATAAGGATTAGGTTTATTATCGAGTAAAAGCTACCCATTAGCGCCTAGTCGTAAAAACACACGAAGGGATATGAAATTGATTATCAGTTCGAGGAACCGCTAATAACTAAAGCAAAGTATATAAAGATTGGAAGAGAAAAAAAAAGAAAAAAACCCACAAAGTTTGGTATAATGATGTGAAATAAACATCGATTCCTCGCACGCAGTCGGGGTCACCTACCGCCGCGCGGCAGGCTGGGCCCCTCCTTGCTCGCATGGAATTGTAGTCCTGGAAGAGTAGAGTCAATATTGATCTTGGACAGAAGACTACTATACTATATGTCATGACCGCAGTACTCAGGGTTTGCCATTTCAATGAAGAACAGCTGTAACCCGCCAGACCACAGAAATTGGAGGTACTTAATTACCCAATTGAAACCTTTCGTGGTGACGTGACAGAGATACCTGGCTATTCTAGATCTATTTAGTACTATTATACCTGAAGCATCAAGCAAGAATTGACTGCATGTATATGCCAAACAATGGATCCACCAAAATGGAATTGTATTCCCCAACTGTTACAAGTCCATTGATGCCAGATACCATTTGATGACCCCATCGAAATATTCTATTTGGGGACTCAACTATCTCGAGATCTAGAGGAGTGGCTTCATGGGAAAACATTGATTTTCCGGCGGAACACCGGAAACCACCATTTCTTTGCATTTAACCTGCCTTTAACATGCCTTTAACGGGGAATGTCGTCAGTAAAGTCGTATCTTATTGCCTTTAATATGCCTTTAACAGGTAAATACATCAGTAAAGGTGTCGGTAAAATGTCGGTAATGGGACAGGAATGCCTTTAACACACAGTAGGGCGATTATTGCATCAAATAATGTGTACCTCGCAACTTTTTGTATGGGAAACGTCAAAATTGATGCATTTCCACGGCTACTAGAGACGATCATAAATAGATCTAGAAATAAATGAACGAATGAACAGACGAAATGAGAAAAAGCACAAAAGACTTATGTGATGTACCTGCAGCTGCATGTATCAACCTTTAAGAACGTTACCACATGCACAATCTTGAATCTTCTGGATCGATCTCTCTCGGCCATTTCTGTACATGTACATATATAGTCGGCTCCCGATTTGATGTATGTAGTACCTTGGGTTAGGATAAACCATGTGCACGCGCGGTGTAAGGATCGGGGATACATGTATCTACATGTGGTCTCGTTCCCAGACCCATACGAGTTCTTTTTTTAGTACATGTAATAGTTGATAAAATGTAATATACGTAGTGCGAGGAAGGGGGAGCGATTTTTTGTACTGTATAGACCATATATACGTATCATAATGTACATGTATATAATATAAAGATGATTTGCTACTATAGTGCGCTAAGCACAAATCTTAAATTAATATGGTAACAAATTTATTCCCACAGTATGGCATGTGCACTTATAGTCCAGAGGTATTCAGATCCTTGAGAAATCCAGTGGCATATAAGCCGCATTGTAATGCAACGTTATAAAGGCACATGTACTCCTAGAATTGAATACCCCTAACTAACCAATGTACATGTACTTATGACGTACACGTACATAGTTATATATAATTACATAGGTGGTTATATCCATCGAGTGATATTCGATGACCGCACAGACTACATGTAGATTGAAGTACTGAGAGTATAAACGAGTCACATGAGACTATATGTATAAATATATATTTGCATGCCCATATGATGTGCACAGCGAGTGGGGTTCGAACTTTGAATCCCCCATGCATGCGGAACGACTAGCTAGTGCCATAAAAATAGAAACGCCGGACACAATTCAGCGGCTTGCCGCTCTAGCTAGCGAGTATACACCTCATGAGTAGGAAGCTTGAAGGTTGCAGGTTGTAGGTCGGAGGGTCGAAGGTAAGGTCGGAGCTCGAGGATCACAGTAATTAGCTAACTTACAAGGAAGCATTCTTCGAACCCTACCGGTCACTGGTACAGCCGAACCCCCAGGTATAGAATAAGCTATGGTACCCTCTATAAGAACAGCCCCTATATAAGGATTACGGTGTAGGGGCCCATTTGATTAGTAAAGTAATAAATTCAGTGTATTCTTGCTATAAGCCTGAGAATACTCTTAGTTATAAGCCTTATGACTTTGGGATGGTTTTGGTGCTGTACCTTTATAGAGAAATGGGGGTCGGCAAGGGGTTATTTTGGTGCAAAAGGTCTGTTACGGGGAGCAAAATGCAGCTTTTCTTCAACTGCCGTACACAAAACAATGTCTAAACTATATAGTCTTCCTCATCGTCACCAGGAACGTCTCCTATTGGTTACAGCGCACTACATGTATTTCTAATATTGATTGCATATATATCATTCGACAAAGAACTACTCCCGAGATGGGAGGGAACTAGCATTAAAGGCGTGTAGCTATTGCAATTGATGGCCCGGGATATAAAAGTACAAACACTGATAGAACCACAGCTATATTTTTATATATGATCATGAAGGTCGAATTTCCTTGGTACCATTTTATCATGAACTACTGCATAACATACTAACGCTACTCATCGAATGACTTAGAGTGCATACTAGAGCTAATATCACAGATTACATATAAGGAGAGGTGGTGATGACTAGGTTTAGTGCGTGCCTGTACCTTTGAATGACCCAATAATCCGGGATGGCGGAAATAATCTAAGAAATTACTATCGCAGTACCGCCCGCACCTTCATTTCCTCACTACATTTGGGCGGCCGAAGGCCGCACTCCGCTTGTACTATATATTTGTACATAACAGGCGAATTATTTTACTCCCACTAAACTGACTCTGGTTTGGACATAAACCCTAACCCTCGTAACCCTATCCCATGGCCTGGTAGAAACTTAAAATTCCGGGACTTCCTATTTCAGCAGGCCCTCCCAGTGGCAGAGTCGCTGCTCCATACTGGTAGCATGTGGATTAGTGTTAATAGTTCGTGGAGCAGTGACTTTGCCACTCGCTGAAATAGGAAGTCCCGGAATTTTAGGTTTCTGTCATAGTATGTATTTGTGGTTGAGTATTTGTGTGGACAACAATAAATTACAACCACGCTAAATTACTACCACACCAAAAATACTCAACCATCACCGGGTTGTGTCTGGGAACGAGACTACCATCTCGCGGCCCCATATCCGTACCTTTACAGGGAGATTCAACTGTATAAAGCTGTGGTACTGAGAAAATTTCGCCCGCTGTGGCATCCATTTGGGTGTGGCATACAAAAATAATCCACGGCATCGTGGTCTTTTACCGATATTTATAAACCAAGCTCATATTTCATACTAGCACCATTTCTATTAAACCATACCAAAGGTAAATATTCACTTCTATAATATGTACTGCCTTTATATATAACGCTGCATTGCAATGTCGCTATTATATCGGACCAATACGCGACTACCGATTATTTTAAGCGGTCCATACAAGTACATGTCTACAAGAGCACGTACTCGAGGAAGTGAATGCCCCTCAGGCATGTGTGGCATTGTGTTTGGCTTCAGACTCCTCTACCTGGTCACTACTATAATTTCAAATTATAACCGGAACGTACTTGTAAAGTGTCATTAAGTTTTTGTTACATACATAATTATTATATGCATTTAAATGCGAGCAACAAATTTGATATCATATAAATGTACCATTTCACAGGACGATTCGAAACGGACAAATAAAGCCTAGGCTGCAAAATAAATATGAAGAATAAGGGTCATGCGAGGAGGGAAACACTGACTAAATCCAATAACTCCCGATTTTGTCCCCAGTATATATAAATTACAGAAACGCATAAAAGAAGGCCTGGGAAATCGCAATTAGGGCTTCTCAGAATCTAGAACCGACGCCCAAATCTATTTTGTCTCGTTAGTATTTGTAGAGTAGGTATTTGGAGTTTCAACATACATCTCTGCTACCCTCATATGCATCACTAAGAGTTGGTGTGCTCGGTGAACGGTGGAATGGAGACAACGGTGGCGTTTTGAGGAAAGAACTCTGTGAACTGGCAGCGGTACCTGGTCGAACAAGGCCGGCCTTCTCACGTTGTTCTAGGATGCCAAACTGTTATCGGTATATATTATCTTTCGGATTTAGAGGGTATAAAGGCGAGAAGTTGTGCTAACCATCATTCCAGTCAAGTACAGAGGCAATTAGCTGAAGAATTTCATATTTCTTAGAATCCCCTCTTTGTATGCTAACAAACTGAAGGAAAACATTTGTCACAAGATTTCTATAATCACTATGTCAGCGGCATATCAGACAGATACAGGGTATCTGTGATATATAATGGGATAGTACTTGTCAATCTTGTCATCAGCGTTGTCACGTTTCAACATACGAAGAGCTTTTCTAAGATGATCGTTAAGCGTGACGGCTTAGTGAAGGTGGAATTAGTTTCTTTGATATGCTTGTGTGTAAGGACATTGCAAAGCCTACCCTCATGACGAAGTTTTCCAATAAGAAGGTTCTTCTCTTTAACCTCTTTCTCAAATGGTAGGACACGCTCAAGATCCCGCTGAGCTACAATTAACTGTGCTTCGGCTTCCTTTGCCCGTTTCTCTAGAGCTTCTCCTTTTGATGCTAGTTGGTTTATTTGCGCCTCCATGGTCTCAACAACTTCCCGCAATTCCTGCTTACGTGCTAGAAATGGTTAGTAGGAATAAGCTTTATAGGTCGGGAGACTATCAATACCATTTTGTATATCCTGTAACGCTCTTTGAAGACCGTCAACTGTACTAGACTCCCTATCCCTTTCTGAGAGAACTTTATCGTATGCTGCTTGTTGATTGGCCAGCTGTTCCTCTAATTCGATTACACGGTCTCCTAATGATTCCCGCACAGATCGCTCCTCTGTTGCTATAATCTCCCATTCCTGCATCGCCTGTTTGGCAGCTTCATACTCCTCACGAGAGTATTTTTCTGCACTGATTAAATCGTTTCTTTCTTTAATCCAATTCTGCTGTGAGAGATTTAATCTACTCCGAAGTGTTGAGAGTTCCTTTGAAGCATCATAGCCTTCCTCATTTGCTTTTTCTAGACTGGCCTGAAGATTGTTTATGGTTTGATTGAGAGCTCGGTTTTCTTCCTCTAAGTTATCCACCATATTCCGAGTACGTTCGAGTTCTTCCTGTGTGGTGTGTTAATATTCGCTAGTTTACTGGAACTCTACTACGGGTTTACCTACTGCGTCAGATTTCAGTTTATCACTGAGAGTTGTTCTGATGTGTGCAACCCTTCCAAGGAGCGCTTTGTATTGAGTGTCTAGTTGTTGTTTTTCTTCCTGTACTTTCGCTAGCCTCTGCTCTGCATCAAGACGGTCCTTTTCCCGAAATTCTTGCTCTCTCTCAAGTAGTTGTCGCAGTTTGGCAGTATCCATTTCCTTCGGTGCCGGAGATTCTCCACCCAAACCGCGAAGCCCCTCATGCATAGCTGTACTCTTTACTATGGGTTCCGACTTCTCAGAAAGCTGAGCCTTCAAATCTTGTACAGCTTTTTCCAGCTCCTGCGATTTCAATCTTTCCAGCTGTAGCTCTTCACTAGCCTGCGCTTTAGCCTCTGCTGTTGATGAACCCTCCTCCAACTGTCTTTTTAGAGCTTCCACCAGCCCCTCTAACTCCTGAGTCCTTCTGAGCCCCTTCGCTAGATTGTCCCGTAACGCATCCTGGTCGTCTTTATTGTCGTTTAAATAATGCAGATTCTCTCGGCCGTTAGGAGCGCAAGGCGCGCAATTCTATACGTCCCTTGAGTAATGAAACTCTTTTATAATGGCAAATAGGACCAAATACCGCGATTTCCGAGCCATCTTTCTTCTCCCCTTCTACATCGTCGTCCCCAAGCTCACTGTCCCTGTCTTTAGCTTCCTCAGTGGGACTTTGGGAGTTTGATCTCGATGCCGGTAGGCCTTCTTGTTCGCCACTATCTTGTTGTTCCTTCTTCTTCTTGTTCGCTTTCTTCTTCTTGTGTGAAGGTGCTACACGCTACGTTAGTACGAAACCATCAAGATCGACCCCACGGAAAGACTCACTAGAATTTGCCGTCATAGGCGAAGCAGACTTTGTGTCCGTGATATCCATATCGTCGTAATTGTTAAGAATTCAGGGGGGTCAGGGGCCAGAGTTCAGTAAACCTATCTACAATCTGGCGTCTTCAGCGAGTAAGTTGCGGCGGAGCAGGTACATAGATAGGTAACCTAAAGCAACGGGTAAAGCGACGCAACACTACATGTAGTACCACTACCGGTACATATGTGTAAGAGCAAAACGCTACTCATGGCAGCACAACAGAAGACCATGTACGCACATCTTTGTAATATGTATGTATATACATATCTTATATTATACTGTACCTTCTAACATGAGATTAATTACAGACGTTTTCCCAAGACACGAAGCGGGTTTTTTCCAGGTAAAGGAGTGCGCTAAATAATCTAGCTGGTTTAGGCCACAAGAACTTCTACGAGCCATGGAGAAAACCGAAAACTTGATAGCCTCCGAACCTACGTTTCCATTGATGTATTATTCTATGCAGTAGTAGTACATGTAGTAGTAGGAGAAGAAGAAGAAGCTCCTGTGGCCCATACATGTACTATGCAGTTTACTTTGTATTGTATTTTAGTAGACATGTAGTAGATTATATTTTATACCAAATACTACATGTATGTAGCCTGGCGTTGTCACGTGTTTAGCTATAAGGCTACATGTACATGTAACATTATTACATATACATATGTACATATACCCATTCAAAATACATACGTGTATGTAGGATTCTATGGAGCCAACTCCAACCCATAATCCAAAGGAAACAACCATTTTAACTCCATAACACTATTCTAAACAACAGCTGAACCATCGAGTTTCTTTCCTTTATAATAATGAAATTGTCCAAAGATCTATCAAAATGAATATCAGCGGGGTATGAAGCAAATCATAACTCATTACAAACTTACAATAAAGTCCTGTACCATTGTTCCCAAGCTCCCAATCAGCCAAGGGAGGTTATGGATCACATAGTCATGTTCAGTGGAATGAAGCAGGATCTAGAAAATAAGTAAGTTAAACTCAAATGACGGAACGTTTGGTGTTACTGACCCCTGCTCCATATGAGAGGTTTCCCAATAAGGATAACATAAAAAACAAAATTGAGAGACCTTCATTAGGGGTTAGCTCTGGGAAAATAAGAAAAATGCATGTATGCAAGCCTCTAGGAGGTACCTTCACAAGACTGGCACCGGTAATTCTTGATAATCTGAGGAATCCTAGCTCTACTCATGATGTCAGATTCTGTCTTAATAACCAGAACTATAGATGGCCAACCCAAGGTATAATACGGAGCTTATATATCCCAGGATTGCGCCAATCAAGGATATCTCGATGCTGTCTCCATCCTCGACTGTAACAGACCATGCGCCGCTCTTCCAAACAAGAAACCATCCAAGGCAGCCAATAAATACCACTGAGATTATCGAGAAGAAATTTCGAGTCATCTCCTCCATGGCACTGGCATCTTTCTCAGCAACGGTGGAGAGGGCAGGATTACCAGGCATGGTTCCAGAAAGCCTGTTACGGGAGTTTGCGTCTGAGCTTCTGCGGCGGGAAAACAATGGTTGGGTGGGGTCGTCTACGTTGCTTGAGCGAGATTGACGCCGTGCTTCTTTGACAGCTATCTTTCGCGCATTGGTATACTTGTAATAAAAAGTCTGGGATATTATGATAATATCTGCAAGGCAGAAGTATATGGCGAGAGTGATGACAGTGGAGAGCAGATCGGACTTTAAGGCACCTGCAAATGGGGATCAGCAATCATTAGTAATAGCGACCATGTGTCGTATGCAGCTCGCGGGAGGAAATGGGCAACAAACCAGCCAAATTTGCAATGTCGCCGAAAAGCCATACGAGCAAAAAGGCTGTAGATACACCATCACCACTTTGATTTTTGTAGTTCTCTAAAATTTGTGGTACCTGCAGCGCAAGCAAAATGATGTCAGTTAAGACACGGACACGGACACGGTTACGGTCGCAACATGGGATGAAAGGTTCAACACACGAGCAGAACAATCCATGAAACGAGGGATATGGTACCCGAGATACCCGACAGAGCCTCCCGAATAGTCAGTGTGACAGAAGCGTGCGCAGAAGGGAGAGCACCTGATAACACAGGATTTATGATCATGTCGGCGAGAGGAGAAAGTAGAGGAGGTGAGTGAATGAGGAGGGTTCATGAGGTGTTCTGAAAGCTCTTGATGGAGGGAAAAAAAATTCAGATGTCAGCTGCAAAAAGCAAGCCGGTATTTACATGTAGGTATGATGTATCGGTACTTGAGACTTTCTCTTTAGGTAAGTCTTACTCTAGATAGTGATTAAGGCTAACATCACTAGCTGCTTGCGCTGTTGTCTTATCTGATATTCCGAAACGAGACACACTGACTTATGTGTACTCTACATAACGTATTTGACCGTGATACCGCCCTGACATGGATACCGATCGCGGCGCAACGCAACCCGACGGGCCCGCGCGTGTCAACGAATATCAACGAATATCAATGAATTGTCAATGAATTAAATACTGTATATAAATTGAATATCTATTAATACTTTTTACCCCCTCTGAGGGTCATATTGGGTGTTCTGCGAGGTGGTGGTGGTGGGGAGCCCTCACTTTCCTCCTCAAAATCCTCAACCCGGTACCATTCATCCTTATCGTCATCAACGCCTACCCTACCAATATCCTTCAAATTATTTACAGAAATAGTAGTAGATATAGAGACACTTTTTTTTGACTTTGCTTTAGATTTAGAGGAAGATAGTTCCTCCTTTGATAACAATTCCTTTAATTTCTTCTTTTCCTCCCTAATACTTGTCTTTGCGGCTTTATCCCCATCTGCCTTCTCCCTTGCCTCTCTCAGCCTAATTACTTCTTCAGTAGTGATCACTCTTGCTTTGGTAAATCTTCTTCTGTCAGTGAAGGTTGCATTGGCAGTTTTTTTTGCTGTAGAGGCCCGGATTTTGTTATTGATATTGTCAGGGATTTCCTTGTCTGTGATTGAAGACCTTTGTCCATCAGCAAAAAATGGGTTTCCCCAAGACGAATTCGGACGCCCGGATGTCCAAATTCGTCTTTTGCCCGCAGAACCTCGTCTTTTGGTCAGACTAATTCGGACGCCCAGATGTCCAAATTCGTCTTTTGCCTGCAGAACCTCGACTTTTGGTCAAACGACCCCGTCATATGTCCCCCTCTTTTTGGCCGCTTATCATTTGATCACAAAACATTGTCCATTTAGAGCTCCAATTACGAAACTGGTAGTACGACCTCATTGGCTCGTCTTTTGAATCAATCTATCCTACACTCGCCTTATTCCAAATGTCCCCGTCTTCACGACCCGTCAAAAGACGAAGATGGCTCGATTGGGAAATATTTGTTATTTGACTCAGACATAATTCTCTTTCTAATAACTTATCATAATGCTAGTACTACAAATCTTCTGTCCAAAATCTAAGTCCAATAATCAATTCGTCTAAAATATAAACTCTAATGACTCCCGGGCCCGTCTAATACCTTCCGACCAATATGTACAATACAATCTAATGAATCGAATATCCACTGTTTAACATGTGTAAAGACTGCCGTCTAATTCCCATTCGTCTTCCCTATTCATCATAATCCCCCCAGCCCAAAACCTATCGTCAGAAGTCCACCTGTCTAAAGTCCCTTGTCTGGTGTTTATATCGTCAGTATCATTATAAAAGACTCAGTCCAACGTCCCGTCTTACTTCAGTAAATTGATCAGTATCTCGATAGATTGATAATACTATTAATAAACCATCTATTGTTGTAACGGTGGTCTATGGACGTAGGGACTATGGTGCCAAGGAATACAACCGACGCGAGGACGTGGCAATAGGTATTCAGAACTATGGGCTATGGAGTGGCTCTGTCTAGTTCTGACAACTAGTTGAACCCTATGACGAGGCGTAGAACAAAAGTAGTATTCGTTGGGGTAGATACAGGATTGGATTGGATTTTTATATTGCTTTGAAGTACAGGACTTATCGCACGCCGGACCCTCCGCCAAACATAAGAGAGAAAACAAAGGAAACGATGAAAGAAATTTAGAAGAAGGTACAGAAAAGAAAGGAGAAAAAACCAAAGAAACCGATCATCATTCCTCCGGGTCCTCCTCGTCCATTTCGTACCAGTCGAGTAGGTTGGTTTTTGTTGCAAACTGTAGAATCAGGTCTACGTTGAGGTTGGTGAATAGCCAGTTTTCCCAAGTGGGCGGCCCCGGGATTTTGTCCATAAGTGGCCTTCGTAGTTGTGTCCATCGTGGGCAGTCGATCATGGTGTAACAGGGCCACAGTAGGGCTGTTACAAAAATACCTGTTCTACCAGTCAAGCCATACGGCCCTAGGTTAACCGCAGCTGGTTCTTCACCGATGGGTGAAGAGAAGGGCAGATGAGCCCCTACCTCTATTGGTATAGAGGGTAGAGATCCTGGCGAGCAAGAAGTCTTACAAGTCAAGCTAGACGACTGGACCAAAACTAGAGCAGCAGGACGAGCAGACCAAATAAGGAAGGGTAACCCCAAACATAAGTTACCCTACCTTGGCATTCAACCTTTGAGGCGCAATAACTTTGCAGCCGATGCCCGGAAAATATGCTTTACCACGTCAGAAAGAATCCTGGCGATGCTCCGGTCCATTTGGGGTGGTTGAATGAACGCATTGCGGAGTTGAGGAAACACTGCAAAATAAACACGTTTTAGACCCCCAAAAATAAACCCCGGAGCGTCGAACCGCCGGAACCCTCCTGTTTCAGCCCGGTGCATCTTTGGGGGGAGTAAGAGTGCGACCCAAACTACCAAAGCAAACCTTTGCTTTAAAAACACCCAAATCTATTCTAAATACTCTGAATAAGCAATTGCTGTCTGGTCGGCTGTTTCCTCTAGTTCCTAGGATCCCGACCCTTTCTTGGCAAGGATTGCGAGATTTGACTCGGACGAAAATTCGTCCACGGTGTGGTAGCAACTCTTCTCCTCCCCCCTGATAGAAAATAGGTGGTGCCCCCAGATTATTTGAAAGGCGGACGGCCAGTGAAAAAAGGAAAGAGGTAATGAAGGAAGGGGCGCCGAACTTCCATAAAGGAACTCGGTTGCCCCAGCTTGGTTTCGGGGGGATCAGCGAGTCTTTACCAGCGAGGAGCCCCCTTAAAGTTATTAAGTTTCTAGACTACAAATAACGATCAAACAAGTGAAACTCTATCTTTCCATCGAACGAGCCGAAAGGATAGCTTGTCGAATTCCTTTCTGCCTATCTACCTGATCGAAGTCACGGTCGCGCCCTTTCAAGGCACCCCCGTTACACATGGTGTGTTTGGAGGATTGTTCCGAGCCGCATTGGCAGGGTTCAGGTTCCGTAAATGCTGCATATCTGTCTATCCTAGTGACTTGACATCGTATGCGGTGGATGAGTTTTGCTTTGGATCGGAGGAGTTTTGCTCGCTTTGGTGGGATTTTTAGGGTTCCTGGTTCGTGGTAGTTGATGAGTGGGATGGAGTTCCATTCTTCTATCATGCGTTTGGTGAGGGTATCGTTTTGTATCCATCTTTCTCTGTGGTTACCTGGTTCCTGAAAGGGTAGCATGAGTGATGCAATCCGATGTAGGCCTGTGCCTTTAATGTTTTTTATTCTGGTGGGGAGGAGTTGGATGAGTCCTTCGTTGAGTGGGTGGTCCGCAGGGTGGCAGAGGATGCGCGTCCCGTATTTCCGCGATTTGTGGTTGAGGAGGTGTTCGAGTGGGGGAAGTGCTGCCTCTTTCAGTAGTTTTTCGGTTTTGGTCCAGCGGGGTAGGCCTGTTATAATCCTGGCGGCTTCGTTGTAGAGGGGGGATAATGATCGGAGGATGTGGTCGGCTCCTGTCCACCATGCCTCCGATCCCCATAGGATGGTGGGGAGGAAGCCTTGGACGATGAGGTGGTGGATGGATTTTGTTGTTGATCCTGGGAGGTAGGCGATGTTTCTGATTCTGCCTAGGGCTATGAGGCCTTTGGCGATGGTTTCTTCGATGTGTGGTCGGAAGGAGAGCGTTGAGTCCAGCCAGACTCCTACGTATTTGAGTCTATCTTTGGGGTGGATTTCTTCTTTTGCGATTTTTACCGAGTTCTTAGGGTCCGGGGTGCTTGATGTTGTGGGTTTGAAGAAGACGAGGTCGGATTTTTGGGGTTCATATTTGATGTTAAGGGGTTCTGCTTTCTTAATTCTTCTTCCATCCTTTCGTTGAGTCTTTTGGTGATGAAGAGAGGGGACTTCGCGAGTTGGATGAGTGCGTCATCGTCGATGTAGGTGGTGTTGATTTCTTTGGGAGAGTTGGTGGGGTCTGTTATTACCCCGGCGTATATCATAAATAGTACTGGGGATAGGGGGGATCCTTGGGGTAGTCCTGAGGAATATGGTCGTGGTGGTTCCAGTTCGTGGTTAAATTGGAATTGAAGTGTTCGATTGGTGTTGAATTCCTTGCACCAGGTCGTCAGGTATGTTGGAAATCTTTGTTGGGTCATGATCTCGGCGAGTAGGAGGTGGTCGACACAGTTGAAGGCTCCTTGTATGTCGTTTGTGAGGAGTGCTGGTCTGTCTGGGGTAGTTCCTGTAGTTCGCTTGATCAGGAGGTTTTGTTGGATGGGCGTGAGCGTGCGGAGTAAGGCATCGATCGCTGAGATAGTTGGTCTGCCTCCGAATTGGTCTTTACTAAGGGTTTCCAGGATGGTTCCGGCAGTGCATAATCTTGTTGCCACTATCTTTTCCAGTACTTTGCTAAAGCATTGTAGTAGGGAGATGGGTCGGTAGGCTTTGGCCGATGAGTAGTCGGATTTTCCTGGTTTCGGGATTGGTATGCATTTTGCCACTTTCCATCGGTCCGGTTGGACTCCATGTCGGAGCATGGCTGAGAACATGTCCTGGAAGAGTTGGGTGTTTGACTTAATTGTTGCCTGTATGAAAGGATATGGTATGTTGTCAGGGCCAGTGGCCGAATGTGCTGGGCATGATTTGATTGCGGACGTGATTTCTTCTGTTGTTACTTCCTGGAAATCGTCACTAAGGTCAAAGGATGGGGGTCTGATTTGGAGTGGGGGGTTGTTGGGGGACGTCCAATTTGTGGGGAAGAGTTGGGCTCTTAGAG